TATGCTGAGGTATTTTATGAAGGTGCCAGAAGCCAGCGGTTACCCACAAGCATCAATCAGCCTCACAGACTAAGGTACCACATTCACAGAGAAGGAGGGAGGGGAAGGAAGGAGACCCAGATGAGACAGCCACCTAAGAGTCCCACAAAGGCCAGGACAGAAGAGTCCAATAAGTAACTGTGCCTCAAGAATAGGGAGGGCCATGGAAAGCGACAGCTGTTAGCCCAGAGAACTGGATGCAAACTGGACAACTCAAGAAACGTGTTCCCTGCCCTCCTGGTAGGACCCTTTCAAGTCCTGCTGCAAATTTCAAGGCTGTCCTGTTGAATCTCTCTGGAGTAAGAAAAGGACGGGCAGAACCGGCAAAGAACTCCAGTCAGCTGTCAGGGATGACCCTGCTGCCTTCTGTCCCCCACTGTGTGCATATCGCAGGTGCCACCCAGCCTGCACACAGCTCATCTCAGTTATTCTCAGAGGAATGCCAAGGGACTTTTTTTTTTTTCCTTCTCAAAACTAAAGATAAAAACCAAAAAGATTTTCCACTTTATAAAGTATCACCTTCAAAATGTTACAAACTGAAAATGACTTCAGAATGGCCAGGGCTATGATTACACAAGCAGTATGACGCATTAAGTGCTTCGTACACACAGACACACACGCACGCACAGACACACAGTGAACTCACAGTGGTCACAAGCAAATTCATCCACCAATTCCTGTTCCTTCTGGGTAATTTAAAATTTCAGACCTTTTAGTCTTTTTCTTCCATCAGTACTGGCAGTCTAAAGAGTAAAGAATAAATAAACTTTAAATTCTTCAAGTTTAAATGCTGATTTAATGAGAAGGTATTTGGCCAAACTCTCCTAATGAATTGTTGCAGCCCTTCCTTGACCAAGGGTTTTCAGATCACAGGCTGGCTTTTGGGGGTTCCTTATGGCCAGGCCACAGAAGGCTGCCCACAGGAGGGTCCTCACTTCTTCATACCTGGGCAGCATTTTTTTTTGGGGGGGGGGAGGGAACTAAAGAAAGAGGCTTCTCCTCTGCTTCCTAGCTCAAGGATCTTATTTCTTTCTTCGTTAAGAAAGACTGTGAGGATGATATAGCTTGGGAACCACTTTAGACCATGAACTCTCAGAGGGCTTCTCTGTGAACCAAGTATTTATTATCCTAATTGCAACATTTTCAATAGGGATTTCTAACTAACAGTAATTACCTATATTTGCAAATATATTCGGTTTTTCCAGCACGTTAAATAGAATTTAAAGATTGGGCTAGATGTTGTGTCAAGCAAATATTTGTGCTTCTGGATAATACACAGACTATTTCCCCATCTTCCTAAATAAATGAAAGATGATGGGCAAAATAACATTAAAAAGAGGCATAATTGTGCTTTTTCTTTCCCAACAAACGCTATAGAATGAATCGGCAAGATGAACAAAAAACTTTTAAATCGATATTTTCCCTTTTGCTAAAAAAAGTTCACTTCTAATAATGCTACCACAAAGTACAAATAGGCATGCTCCTGCATAAGAGGGAAGTTGGATTCCTTTGGTTCCATTCTTAAGCAACAAGCTGAGTATGTTGGGAAGGTACTGACCTTTCTGACAATAAATAAATGGGAGTGTGTATTACATCAGCCAAGTGATATAAATATTTTTTTTCTTAATTCTAAAAAGCTGCCTATTTTTTTGAACTTCAGAAACAGCACTCAACTTATTTCTTAGAACAATGATATTGTTCCTGTGAGAGGCCCCCTTCAGGTCTTTCTGCTCTGTCCTTCAGATTTACATGGGATATAAATAAAGTTCATGACCAAATTGCATTGCTCATGATAAGCAGGATTTAAACAACTACATTCACCACCCCTAGGGATGGCCTGTTACCATGGGCAAATACAGTATTGTTATAGATGCATTTAAAATTAGTCTTTGGCTTAATGTGTTAAGCAAATTCAGGGATGAAATAAAACTTGTCTAAACATTAAGGGGAAAAAAGAAGAACAATGCAATGCATTGTAATGATCTACTTGTTCCTCCTCTCTGAGATGCAGAAACTCTATCAAATATTTCTTTATGGTCAACTGGACCTTTTAGTTTGAAGACTGTTCCCAGAAAAGGTGGCCAAAATTTAAGTCTGAGTACCGCACCTTAGGAGACAGTTCATTCAATTCAAAGAGCATCATTTGAGATGATAAAAAAAAAAAAAGGAATGATATAAAATAAACAAGGACTAAGGTGATCATGAAGCAGTATGATCAGCAGAGTTTCCAGGGATGATGATGGGGAGCTGATTCTAAACAAGACCCCCACCAACAGCTCTATTAGTGTTTCATGTGTACATGCGTAAAAGTACCTTTAATTTCACAACTTATTTTTAAATAAGTGAAAAAAAGAAAAAAGTTTTAAAGTTACCTTTGTCTAAAGATTTACTTTTTCAACAGAGGTTTTTATGCTGGCTTAAGGTCTACCCCCATCAAGTGATTCACATTAAAAAAAAAAAAAAAGAATCCCCATATTCCAAAGTGATTAGAATATAGATAGGGTGGGGGACTCAAAGATCACTGTGCTGACAGTTAAAGCTTAGCATCTTCTTCAGTACTGGAGTTTGTTGGTGAAGCTTATTTGGGAAAGGGATCATTTTTTTAGCTACACAGAAAACAATAACAAAAACAGCCTTTCTCTGAACTCACTGGGCATAGCCAGAGTCCCCTGAAGCTCTATGCTTCCTTTGGTAACATTTGGGAAACTGATTTATAGCCTCGGATCCAGTATGGTGGCTATCTGCATTTCTCTTCCGGAATCCTTCCTCCTATCTTCCACCACTCCCAAAAGAGGGACTTGTGACTATGGGCAGCCACAGTATTATTAATAGCCCTAAAATCATTTACGCAGACTGAAATTAGAGATGTCAAGTCAGAATAAGAGATTATATTACATTTAACTACAACAGAGAAAAAGTTGATGGAGTGGAGAGAAATTAGTAACTAACAGAGCCATTCTATTTACATACCAACCTAAATAAACTATTTAAAAATCAAGGTAAGTCTGCCCAGAGGATATTACAATTAACCAACATAGAAGATTAAAAACAAGCAGCAACTTTTATATAAAATTAAAAAAGAAATGAAAAAGAAATTGTCAGTAGCATCTATCTCCTCCATGTGTCTGAACTGCACGTTATAAACTAGTCCATTAGTACAGCAGCTTGCTAAAAAATTGACTTTGGTTCAAGCTTAGTTTAAACAAAACAAAACAAAACCACACACCACACACAGAAAGGTGGATAGACATTTGTTAGTTTCCCTGCTTGTAGTTCACTGATTTTAGAGGGATTTTAGGGAAAATGATGGGTAAGAGGAAATTTAGGGGTGGTAGTTAAATACTTTGTGAAATAAAACAAGAGGAACTAAAGAATTAAAAGGGGACTAAAATGTTTCTGACCTTTAATATTAATTTGACTGTCTCCCACTTGAATCTCTCTCTCTCACACACACACACACACACACGTACACATTTGTGTCAGTATTACTGCCTTCCTGAACAGTGGGGAGGAGAGGCCAACACACGAATCCCAGCTCCCTTGAGGACACAAGCAGGGCAATCGGAAGGAAAGCTCTTTCTCAACCCCCAGCTCAAAGAGGGGCAGAGTGCAGTCTTAGGACCACCCGAGACTGAAGCAAGTGCCCAGGGACACCAGATGGGAACCTCTACCTCCAGAAAGAAGGGAAACTTAGATCAAGCTCCAAGGTGGGAAGGCAGTCTTTGGGGAAGGTTTTTGGTATACAGAGTATTATAAAAGTACATTGGCAAAAATGGGAACTGAACCTCTACATTGCCCTTGTTCCTCTTGGTCCATGTTCACAAGCTCCTCCCTTCCACTGGCTCATTTATGTGGTCTAGAAACACCCTGAAAACAGTTACAGAGCTGATCTCTTTCTGTAAGAATAGAGAGATGTGCACTGCTGTTGGACTTCCTGGCAGGGGCAGCCCCCCAGGGGTGCACCATGTTCCTGCTCAGCGTTTCTTCAGAGGTTCTGCAGAACCCAAGCCCCACCAGCAAGTACCTTGTCAGTCAGAGAATCCAGAGAGTTCAGGTTAGGCCTGATGAGCCATCCAGTGGAAAGGAAGTCTGTGGTGCTCTAGAGGAAAAGGTGGCGACCTCAGACTCCTCTCAGGGACTCTTTTGGATATATCAATTGATGGACAACAGTCTAATAGAAGTCCTTTAGAAAATAAAAAAGGGAAAAGTTCCCCGATACCAGTAAGTCAATTTGTTCTTTGCCAACGAAATTAAAACAAGTTTGGATGAGAAACTCCCATAAAATGAACAAACAAACAAACAAACACACCAACAGTAGGAGCATTTTTCAGGAGATAAGAAATCAGGCGAACCACCAAGTCAGGTGTCTGCAGTAGTCTTTGCTCTTTGGAACCAAATCCTGCCTGCAACACATAGAGCTGTTCCCATTGAGAGTAGCGCGGAAAGCAGCTGCTGCACTACAGGATCTGGGCCTGGGGGCGGTCCATGATTGGGTGAGTGAGAGCTACAGTTCAGCAGGAATTCCTTCCTACACAAAAGTGCTCCAAAGGCACGCCTGCTGGGGGAGGGGCGTGTTGGGCGGGAGTGTCTGCACACACTGCCTTCAGCTTTTGCACCAGCCTCTTGCATAAGTGGCAAAAGAAAATCATTTTCTAGCACCTCTGTAAGAGTCGTGGAGGATAAGGAAACCAGCAAGAACATTCCCCGCAGTTAAGAGCATACGCCTCCCTTGCCCCAAACCCTCCCTCCCCACAGTGTGGGAGCTCACTGAAACAGGATCCAGGAGCAAGAGACAAACATGTCCAAACTATATATATATATATATGTGTGTGTGTATATATATATATATATATATATATATATATATATATATAAACAACAACAACAACAACCATAGAGATACAGTAATACAGGCCGGCCTAAATTGTACCAGTTAAGAAAGGAACCCCCAACGCAATTGATACGATTATAAACACCTTGTTATGACTTAATGGCCTGTACAACAGACCCATAAAAATGATTTTTTTTTTTTAAAGAAAAAAGAAATCTAGACAAATCAGAAATCCCTTCCTACACTGGAACTGGTACCCACCTTAGCTTGTCATCACGACTGCTGGAGATGATAAGTAGTCCTTCCACTTGTTTTTGATTTTTTTGTTTTTTAAATTTTTGGTTAGAAAGTTCTCTAATCCATGAAGCAATCCTGAAAAGACAGTGTTTTATTATAAAATTAGGCAAATGCTGTCCGTCTCCATCCTTGCTTTCTTCTGGCTGTGGACTCCCTCTCCCCTGCCTCCCCCCTCACCGGGTGGTGAGGGCAGCGGCTGGCTGGCTGGCTGGCTGGCAGGCAGCCTGGCCACACTGCAGGGTGGAGGCCCTGGCGGCACCTCCGCCCCCGCTCACTGGGCCTTGGAGGCGGTGGTGGTGGTGGAGGCAGCCCCACTGGCGGAGGCCACTGTGAAGAGCGAGTTCTGCATGGACTCTGCCGAGCTGGAGGCGGCGTGAAGGCTGGCGACTGGTGTGGAGCTCCCCGTGGAGGCTGCAGCGGCAGACACCAAGCTGACGGGGTTGCTGGTGAGCAGAGAGAGGTTCTGAGGGTTCAGGAACAGAGGGGCAGTCACGATGTTGGGGGCTGCTCCTGCATTGGCAAACACCAGGTTCCCAGTTGCGTCCAGTGACGTTATTGGAAGAGAGCCACCAGAAGCAAGGGCTAGACATAGACCCCGAGAAACAGGCAGGAAGGAGAAGGTTAACGTCATCCTGGAGAAGCTGGATCACATTCGTTACAGCTCTGCGTTTTCATGTAGCTCAGGAAAAAGTGCGAGCCTTTGCTGACTTTTCTTCCTCACAGAGCTACACTGATACCAACCGGAATCTATTTATAATTCTGAAGAATGTAAAGGACTGAGAAACATAACTTATTGAGTATCAGCAGGGTAGGTTAAGGAGAGTTTTAAGAACTGTCTAATGATGACTCAGTCATATTTTAAATATCTTTAAGTTTATTTCATTTAACCTAGAAATATTTGTTAAAGCCAGTAATTTTGTCTTCAATGAAATTGATATCAAACTACCTCTGTTCAAAAGACAAATTAGCTAAAGTCATTAAAGCATTAAAAATATATTTTTTTGTTGGGCTGGGGATGTCACTCATTGGTAAAGCACTTGCCTAGTATGCATGAGATCCTGAGTTCTATCCCCAGCACGAGGGAAAAAAAACAGTCTTTATAAAAGGCTTTAGTTATCAAATAAAGTGAAAGGTCTGCCTGATTCTTATTTCCTGGGCAGACCTGAGGCAGCTGCTGTAGCAGAAACAGAGAGGCAGTGAGGCACATGGCCTCGGCGGCTGGCCAAGGCCAGCACGTGATCATCAGGGGAGGATTTCTGTAGGATGCTGCTGTTCTCCACAAATTCTATCATCAACATCTTATTTAAAATAATTAGGGGCTGGGGCTAGGGCTCAGCGGTAGAACATTTGCCTAGCATGTGTGAGGCCCTGGGTTCGAATGCCAATACCACATAAAAACACTAAATAAACAAAATAAAGGTATTGTGTCCATCTATAATTAAAAATATTAAAAAAATAAAATAAAATAATTAGGACTTCCATTTTATAGCTTACCCTATTACCTGACAACATTCCTACACACTCCCAGTCACATAACCTCACCCCATATGTGGATTTCAGGGTTTTTCTGATGGTACTAAAATTTTGGCTCAAGGGAATGCTCCTGACTTTGGATGTGACCACAGAAATACGACACAAAAGTGAGACTTGGTGTACCCTGAAGTTTCCTGATATTCCAGGCTTAGGGTCACAGACCAATTCTAGATCTTCCTAGACTATGATCTGTGGTCAGGCATTACGCCTCTGTAGTATCCCCATAGCCCAGAGATACTCCCTAATATAGGAGAAAAAGTGATTTATTATAAATTTAGTCCAAAAAGAAATCCTTGTATAACAAAAAGCTTTAGATCTGACCATCAATTTAGATAGAACTTAAGTCAAACAGAAAGTCAAAATAACATCAGGCAATCAGGGCTATGATGTGTTTTTTTCTGCAAGTCAACATTCTCTACAGTATGCAGCTAGACACACCCATGGCACACTAATCTTGATCCAAGCTGACTAATACCTTATTTTTGGCTCCAAGAATGTTTGTATAAGCACTCAGTAGTCAAGAAAACAGTGTTCTGATTAATATGGAGCTGCTCTCCTAAATCACACAGCAGCCAGCCCCTTCAGACATGAAACACAGATGCAGAGCAGGACCAACCACCCCTTCCTGGTGTGGAATGCGTGCCCCTCGAAGGGCATACAGGGACCCAGGCTTGGAGGCAACACTGCAACCCGAATGAGCCTTCTACCCTGATGTTCATTCAAGAAATAAAAATGTTGGGCTGGGGATGTGGCTCAAGCAGTAGCACGCTTGCCTGGCATGCGCGGGGTGCTGGGTTCAATCCTCAGCAGGAAATAAAGATGCTGTGTCCACCGAAAACTAAAAAATAAATTTAAAAAATAAATAAATAAAAATGTCCTGGAAATCTGCCCCATGTGCTCTATTGACCACTCACCATAGGATTGTCCACCCATGGTCTCAGGGGCAGGGTGGGGCTGGGACTTTTACTTGGCCAAATTTGCCTTGAGAAAGATTTGAGATGAGCACTTGGATAAATTTATCTGGAGAAAAAAAAAAAAAATCTGCCTCCAAGTCTACTCACATAAGAAAATAAACATCAGCATAAAGTCCTGGTTTCTTAAAATACACCAAACTGGGTATTCTTCTTACAAACTAAAACAAACCTTTTCCACAAGGATATTTTCATAGTCCTCGAGAAAAAGCCAGTCAGCATTCAACCATCCCTCCATCAAGCTCACCTCTAGCAGAGCAGGCTCCTTGCCCTCATCTCCCCAGCACAAGCTAACCACGGAGAGACTCCTGACTCACCTTGAATAGTTGCCAGTGTACTGTTGCTCATCAGAGCTGGGCTGAGAGCACCGCCCAGGGTCCCTGGATTGAGGCTGAGTAAGGCACCTCTGCAAGTCAAAATAGGGGCCACACTATTACACACAGATGCAGTGTCAGCTCAACAACACCCCCAAAGAACAAGAAAGAAAAACTGGGATGGGGAAGTACATGGAGCCGTTCTCCCTACACTAATGCTTGGCTGCTTCTGAGTTCCTGCTTTCCTTGAGGCTTACTTGCCACAAGGTTATATGGTCTGCACAAACACATGACTTTTACAGTTACTTTGACTCTTCTTTGAATTATGTCATTCTTAAAATAAATAAATAAGTAAATAAAAAATCCAAACAAACAACAACAAAAAAACTTCAGAGAAAAGGAGAATTCTCAATAATATGCCCGACAAAAATAACGTAAAATTGGGCTGGGGTGGTGGCTCAGTGGTAGAGCACTTGCCTAGCACGCGTGAGGCATTGGGTTGGATCCTCGGCACCACATAAAAATAAAATAAAGGTTATTATGTCCACCTACAATTAAAAATATATTTAAAAAAATAACATAAAATCAGGAATCTTCTTACTGCTTCTCTTATCCATGTTTGAGAATTAGAAAGAAGACAGCTGAGCGTTCAGTGGAGAAAGCACAGAGAGAGTCAGGAATTCTGGGCTTCCTTCCCAGCCCCATCACTGAGATGCTGAGGTGCTCAGTGACTAGGTGCTCTGGGTCTTCGAGTGGAGAGAAAGGTGTGGCTCTTGCCCTTACCTGAGTGCTGAGCAACCTGGGCTCAACTCTGGAATCAAGGTCCTTGTATGACCACAGAGCAGGCCATTTAAAGAGCCCCCACACCACAAAAGACAGTGATAAAAAGTCTCCCTCATAAGCCATTCCTGGACAACTTCCCAGTTGTTTCTCAGATGTGAACCAAATGAGGACACTCCTTACCCAGGTGCAAACTGTGAAGGTGCCATCAGGCCTGGGCTGAGCCCTGCAGCAGCAGCCATGGCAGCGAGACTGGCGTTTGCTGGCAACTGTGCTGCTCCCTGGAGCGCAGCAGCTGTCTGCAAGCCTGATGCTGTCACCATCACCTGGCTGGTCCCAAGAGGGGAGGACAAAGGAGCAGAGGTGGTCTGTGTTGTGCTGGTCTCGCTGGCACTGGATGCCTCAGAGGTGGAGGCCGAGGCAGAAGGGGAGGGACTCAGAGACGGGGAGGTGACTGCTGAGGAAGCTGGAGGTGCGGTGGAGATTACTGTTGCTGTGTTGTTGGAGGTGCTGTCTGTAGTGCCTGAAAAGAAAGCTGGTTAGAGAAGGACATTCTGGACAGGTGAGGCAGCACATGCCTGTGATCCCAGCCCGTCAGGAGGCTGAGGCAGGAAGATCACAAGTTCAAGGACAGACTGTGTGTCAAAATATAAAAATGGGTGTGGCTCAGTGGTTGCACTCCTGGGTTTAACCCCCAGTCCCAAACAAAACAAAACAAAAATAATGAAACCATTATTTTAAACCACAGTCACGCTGTTGTGTCCAGCGTGACGATCACGCTGGACACCACAGGTCTGGAATACATCTTGGAGCTGGTATGTTGGGGCGCAGAGGCGAGCGTGACTTAAAGAATGCTGCCACCCTGCCTGAAGCAGGAAAGCTGACCTCCCACCACGCAGAAGACGCCAACTGACCTACAGACACTCAACTGACCTACAGACACTCGCTACAGGAAACGGTGTAGGACAGGGCCTCTGACGTCAGTTGTCAGGAAATGGGACACAGGACAAAAACAGCTGTCTAAAGACAGCCAGGGTTTAATTTGGCGAAACCTTTTATGCACTAGGATATGAGCAACTACATATATGGGTAAAGAAGAACCTAAGTGGGACCTTTTCAGGATAAAGAACTCAAAAAGCCAAAAGACCAACCAATCAACCAACACAAAACAAAACCCAATCTCCCAAAAACTATATGTAAGCCAGGCACAGTGGGGCACACCTGTAATCCCAGCAGCTTGGGAAGCTGAGGCAGGAGGATTGCAAGTTCAAGGCCAGCCTCAAGAGACCCTATCTAAAAAATAAACAAACAAACAGGGCTGGGAAGGTAGCTCTGTGGTGAAGTACTCTTGGGTTCAGTCCCCGGCACCAAAAACCAAACAAACAAAATTATATATGGAAGACAATGCAGTATAATAGAACCAGACCAATCAAAATAGGTATCTCAGACCTAAATGGAAAAAATCTCAGGTAAAAGTAATTTTTTGTTTCTATTCGAACTGCAGGAGACTCTCTTCTCCTGTAATGGCCTCATCCCAAATCCTGTGTAGAACAGGGTTTGTCTTTCCAGATCTGTTTTGAAGCTGTCTTCTGAACACCTTCAAGGCCAGTTCTCTCATGTTCCCTCCCTTGTCACAGGGCTAGGATAAGCCTAAGTGTCCCTGAGCCAGCAGTGACTGCCTTCCCACTTCCCACAGTGCTGCCCACGTGCAGTTCTGTGGCCTCTGGCTCCATGGGCCAACCATATCATTGCACACCTGAGAGAGGACTCATTCCTTTCTACCTTTGGGAAAATGTGAAAAAGGTGATTCCTTCTTATTGCAGCTGCCCTAGTGCAATAACATCTTTGGAAGTATCATTCACTCCATTTTCACTAATCTCTCTTCAGTTTTAAATCTATCGCTGAGCCCTGTGGCTGTGTTGCACCCTGTGCGTGGCAGACTCATCACACACTCCTCCACTTGATCCTCTTCCCCAAAGACTTGGTTCTATAGGAAGGTAAATGTCTCTTATTTTTCTTCCACTGCTAAGAAGTTTGAATGTACTTTCAATCTTTTCTTGAACAAATTTTCACCTTACCTAGTTCAATCTTACCTACAGACCCACTCCCCTTTCAAAGTTCTGAAACTAAAACTGTCCATTTCATGTCTTCAGGTTAAATAGCTTAAAATGGCTGTTTCCTTTTGCCACTTTCAAATCGTCCAGTATCTCTTTAAAATCCATAGGTTTACAGAGAGAAACTGCAGCCAATTCTTTTGGGTGAACTTAATCTGGGCTAGAAATAAAAACTATTTGGAGTTGTTTTACTTTTGGCTGTAATACTCTAAAAGCACAGTCTAGTATCTCCAATGTGAATGTCACACAAGCAACATGGTATAACATGATCTTCAAATTAATTCTCTCAGCCAGTGAGTCATACTTCAACCAAAAGACACTTTTTATGGCCCCAGCATCTTGGCAACTGATTTACTTGGGCAATTTTGATCAGTGAATTTAGGCTTACAGAGCCTCAATGTCTTTAACAACCACCAGAGGTGCCACCACCTGACTGGCAGGTAGGCAGGCAGAAGCTGGGACACTGTGTGCAAAGCCCAGCACAGCCCACTAGTCGCCATGCATCTTCTTTGGTAAAATGCACATTAAAGTCTTTTGCTCATTAAAAAAAAAGTTGCCAGGGCAGTGGTAGAATATTTGCCTAGCATCCTCAAAGCTCTCAGTTCAATCTCTAGGGCTTCAACCCACCCCCCAAAAAGAATAGCTCCAATTCCTTATGTTTTCTTCCAGTCTTTGGCTTGTGTTTACACTTTTTTATCGGTGTCTTCTGCTGTACGAAGATGTTACTTTTGATGAAACTCAATTTAACCTTTTTTTTGGGGTACTGGGATGCTTAACTATTGAGCCACATCCCTGTTTTATTTTATTTTTTATTTTTAGACACAGTCTCAACTAAGTTGCTTAGGGCCTCATTAAGTTGCCCAGGAGAGCTTCGAACTTGCAGTCCTTGTTCCTCAGGCTCCCAAGCTGTTGGGATTGTGAGTTTGACTGGAGGTGTGTGCCACCAGGCTGGGCTTTCTTTTTTGTTGTTGCGTTTTTTAATGGCTTGTGCTTTGGTGCAGCATCTGTGGGAGTTCTTTGCCTACCTAACCCCAAAATTGTGAAGATCTTCTCCTGCCTTTTTATAGAAGGTTATAGGTTTCAGCTCTTACATTTATGCTTTTGGCCCATTTTAGTTAATTTCTGTAAATGATGAGAAGTAAAGGTCTAAACTGATCTTTGTGCATACAGGTATCCAATTGTCCTAGAAATGTTTGTTGAAGGCTCTTTTCTCTTTCGTGTTTGTGTTAGAAACAAAAAACAAACAGATAAAAAAACACCAAAGTACAGAGCATAAATTTAAAGGTTTGTTTCTGGTCTCGTACTTCTGTTCCACCGAATCCACCTTTGTGCCAGTATTTTGCTGTCTTGATGACTGTAACTTTATGGTAAGCTTTGAAATCTGGACACACTTGTCTTCTAACTTCATTATTTTCAAAGTTATTTTGGCTATTCTGGGTCCCTTTCATATATTTTACAATGAACATATCAATTTCTCTAAAACAAACAAACAAGAATCTATTGGAATTGTGACCTGATCGTGTTGAAATTATAAATCAAATTGGAGAAACAGTTATTCTTGAGAATGCCGACTCTTCCAAACCACGAACATGGAATATGAAATGTCTACTTATTTAGATTTTCCACAACCTATAGTTTTCATAAGTCTTATGCTTTCGTCATTACATTTATGACTATTTTACTCTCTGAACCTACTGTGTATAAATTATCTTAGTTTCATTTTCAGACCATCCATTGATAGTATGCATATACAAATGTGTTTCATTTTTATATACTGATCTTGTGTCTTGCAATAATGAATTTATTGATAAATCCTAGTAGTTTTATAATAAATTTCTTAGGATTTTTTAAATTTCTGGAAGGAACAAGTTGTATTTTGCAAAGATGGCTGGATACAAGATAAATAAGAAAAATTAATTAAGTTTTTACATATTAGCAACAATCACTCAGGAGATAAACATATTAAAATTACTACACACAACAGCACAGAAAAACTCCAAATATCCAGGAATAAAGTTAATCAAAGACATACAAAACTTCTGAAATAAAAACTACAAAATTTTGCCAAGAGGAATTAAAGGCCTAACTAACTAAAGATACGCAATAGCAACCCTTCAGAGGTTAGATGACTCAATATTCTTAAGACGTACATTTTTCCTTGGGATTTTTTTATACACATAGGATAATGTAAGTAAAGGCAGTTTAACTTTTCTTCCAAATGGGATATCGTTAATCCTTTTTTCCTTTACTAAACTGGCTATTATCTCCACTTAAATGTTAAGAGCACCCAATCTCAAGGGTGGGGGAGCATCAGTCTTTTACCAGTCTCTCATAGTGTGAGCTGCAGGGTTAGGAGATGCTTTTTATCAGATGAGGCAAGTTCCTTCTGGTCCAGGCCAAAGGATTTTTATCATAAATGGGTTTGGACTCTATCATATACTTTCTCCTTTATCTATTAGGATGATCATTGCTGTTTTTGCCCCTTTTCTATTATTTTACTGTTGTGTCAGCTTTTTGTCAATATGACCAAAATACCTGACATGATAACTTAAAGGAGGAAAGTTTTATTTTGGTTCAGTTGCAGAAGTTTTAGTCCATGGTAGGCTGACTCCATTGCTTCAGGCCTGACATGAGGCAGAGCATCATTGCGGAAGGGTTTGGCAGAGGAAAGGTATGGAGCTTTCCATGAGGACGAGAGAAACAGGGAGGTATCGGGGATCAGATACAGATCCAAGGGCATACCAGCAAGGACCCCTCCCTCCAATGAGGCTCCACCTCCTACAGTTTCTACCACCTCCAAAAGATTAATCCGCTAATGAGGTTAAAGTCCACATGATCCAAATACTTCCCAAATGTTCCACCTGTGGACACTGCTGTAAAGGTAGTACACCTTTAACACATGAACTCTGGAGGACAGTTTTCAGACATAATCACAAATCTATTATGTTAACTGATGTTCATAGGTTAAACTAACCATACATTCTTGGGCAAGATTCTGCTAGGGTTTTTGGATTTATTTTCACCAACAACATGAGTCTGTAATATTTTTTCCTGTGACATATTTATTGAGCTTTGGTACCAGGGTACACTGGCCTCTTACAAGTAAAGTGTCCCTCTTCCTCTGTTTCCTGGAAGAGATGTATGTTCTCTGTGTACTTGAAAAGAATGCGCTTTCACATTCACAGCAGTCAGGACAGGCTGGATGACAGCTCTGCTGGAGTCTTGCATATCCATGAAACTTTTTTGTACATAGTACAAGCATTGAAAATGCCGTGTTAATTCTTTCAACTACATTGCTGAATTGCCTATTTCTCCTTTTAATTCTATCACTTTTACTTCCTGCATCTTGGGACTCTGTTGTTAAGTAACTAAATGATTAAAATTGTTCAATAATAAACTTTTTTTGTCCATTATAAAACACATTTTGGAAAAAAAAATGGAGGCAGAGCATATTTAGTTCAGATTATCAATGACAGTGGCATTTTTGCAAGATTCTGAGATACATGTCTTTCTGGAAGAGTATATAATCCTAATCATTGTATCCATTCTAAAAATGTTTACCAAGGCCTTTTATGTGCCAAGCACCATGGGAAAATAAAGACGACCATAATAATCAAACAAGATTTTTCTTAAAAGGAGTAGACTGAGTAAATGTGTTTTCTCTTTGCTTCTGAAATCCAATTCCAAATGATAGCAAAGCAACACAAAAGGGAATATATTCTGGGGTTAGATATGAGATATAAGATTTAGATACTTTTGCAAAAATGAGAAGAAAGAAACTGGGTGGTGGAGACTAAGGATGGTCCAGATGGGCGCAGGAGAAGGTTGCGGAATGAAGGGGGAATGAATCGCTTAGAGGGAGCCCTGAGAAGAGTCCAAACTCAGAGCTTCTGGGTACTGCTGAGGCAGAAGTAGGAAACAGGACCAGAGAAGAGGGTGACTGAAGGACTGTTCACACACTGGGCCTCTCTCTCTTTAGGACCTCCCACACGTCACCTACTCCTGAGGACGGGCGGCTAGATCCTGGTGCAGGCATGAGTATGTACAAGTAAAGAGCCTTGGGGGAAGTGCAGGTGTGAAGCCCTGCTTGCTCCTGCCTCCCAACTGCATACCCCGAAATAGTCTGGCTGGTCTTGGTCACACTCATAGCTAGCCCTTCCATTCAGGGGGCAGACTGTTGAGTAACAGAAGCCACATGATGGCAGGAAAAACCCACAAGCTACTGACAGTAAGGAATATGGCCCTGCATTCATCAGTATTAAAAAAAAAAACTCAAAATACCAGAAAAAAGGGGGGGGGGGGAGGAACAGCACAAAGAAATGATACAAAATGAATAAATGCAGCTAGTGCCAGAAGGAACAATTTTTATAAGCAACGATAAATGGCCAGAATTGTTTACAGAACATGACACGAACTCAGATTGAAAGTGCTTGCTGACAGCCAATGAGGATAAAATTTAAGTATCCATACTTAATTTTTTAAAAATTTTAAATTAGTGCATTATAATTATTCTTAACATAATTTGCTCCATTCCAGTTCCCAGTACTATCCCTTCCCACCTTCCTCCCTCGCCCAGAGCCCCTTCCACTACTCTACTGGTCTTCCTTCTATTAATTTATTTTTAAAATTAGTGCATTATACACAAGAGTGGAATTCAGGGTGATAGATTCATGCATGCACTTGATGCAGTTTGGTTAATTTCATTCTGGCCTCTCACCACCCTTCCATTCCCCTTCTTGTACTCCTCTATTCTCCCTTCTGATTTCACGAGATCACCCACAGCTTGAAACCTTCTAGGAAAATTTCAGAACGCTGAAGTATGAAACTCCTCAATGTTTCACAGTGAAAGAAACAACCTATTAAGAGACTGAAGTTAAAAGACTTCACTGGCAACACTGGATGCTATAACACATCTACAAAGTTCAAAGGAGAAATAATTTTGCACCTAGAATTCTATTACTAGATAAACTAAAAAAAAAATCATGAAGACAAATACTTTTCAGGTATGTCTGTACTTATACATTTTACTTCCCAAATAGTCTAAGTAGAGAAAAAGATCACTTGAGAATGTGTTCCGAACAAAACGGAATCAAAGAGGAAGACATGGGATCTAAGAGACATTTACTTTAACTTAGTGTTTCAGTTAGCATTTTTGCTGCTGTTACTAAAAGACCTGACAAGAACAATTTTAGAGGAAAAAATATTTGCTTTGGGGGCTCAGTTTCAGAAGTCTCAGGCCACAGCTAGCTAGCTCCATTCCTTGTGTCTAAAGGTGAAGCAAAATATCATGGTGGAAAGAACATCCTGGCAGTAGAGTGTGGCAGAGGAAAGCAGGTCAGGACAAGGCCACCAAGAAACAGTGTCTCCACTTGCCAGACACAAAATATATACCCCAAGGCACATTCCTCATGACCCACCTCCTCTAGCCACACCCTACCACTTTCAGTTACCACTCAGCTAATGCCCTTCACTGATTGGGTTAAGGCTCTCTAAACCAATCAGTTCACCTCTGAATGTTCTTATATGAGCTTCTAGGGGACACCGGTTATCTAAATCATAACACTTAGGAATTCTCTGAAATTAAAACAAGCAATTGTAGGAACCCAAGAAGAAAGTCTGCAAGAAAGAGATGGATTGCATTAGACAGGTTGTACAACGATGACACTTGATGTCCTTAATAAATAGCGTGGTGAAGGAATATACTACTTTTTATCAACAGAAAAAAAGAAAAGGCATATAGAAATGTCCAAGGAAAAGAGGTTAAATAAGAAAGAAAGAGTCCAAAGAGGAATAACAAATTAAAATGGGGCATGACTTTGAGCAATAGCTGATAAGAAGGCAAGACCCATTTGACTCCAATTCTTGTAATCTTTTTATAATGCAACAATGCTATGAGATTACATTTTCTCCTGTAAATTCAATTATGAGCTGGCCTTGTACAATACCTAGGCAAACATATTATTATATTTACTTTCAGTTGTTGTATAACAAAGTAGCACATATTCAATAGCTTAAAACAACATGATTCATCATCTCACAGTTTCTGTGGGGCAAATGTCCAGGCCCAGCACAGCTGGGTCCTCTACTTAGGGTATCATAATAAGGATGTGAATACCACACTGGGTGAAAATCACTGAGACTCTATGTATAAAACATTTTGAAGAAAAAGCAAGAATAGTATTTGCTGTGATGTTTTTCCCTGTTTGAATTTCCTGTAAGATAAATTTCTTAATAATTAAAGAAAAAATTCGTCATTCCAAGAAGAGTTATCAACCTTTCATAAAACAATTACAATTAAATCCACATACATGGGCTGAGTAACTGAATTCAAGAAAATGTGATCCAAAAATGGATACAAATTTACAGTTTACAGTTAATTTTGAGTATATACAGATTCTTAAAATTACTTTGATTTTTTTTTCACATTTTAAGAAATCTGTAAATATGTGTGTGTGTGTATGTGTGTTTTAAAGTTGGTTTTTCATAATATTGCCCAGGCTGGCCTGGAATTCCTGGGCTCCAGTGATCCTCCTGCCTTAGTTTCCCCGAGTTGATGGGACTATAGCAAAGTGCCACTATACCTGGCCCTAGCTATGTGTTTTTAATATCTGGACCATTAGGAGTCTCTATGCAGAAAATGAATTATCTTTAGGTCTAACACAATGTGATTTATAACTAGTTGGGAAGGTGAAGTCCAGTTCACAATTTCCAGATAACTGGAGTAGGGTGAGACAGTTTATCAGAGGAAGGCACTTTTGCTGATGCCTAGCACAATGCCAATCTGCCTCTAACAGTTTGCTTAGCAAGACACAGTACTGAATAGTGTGGACATATTGACCAAAGGTTTTGAACCTGGAGTGTGTAGGCTCCTAAGGCACCCATGAATAGCTGGAGACAGGGAGAACACTGACGGGGGATATTACATACACACTGCCTTAGACTTTACTAAAACTTGTGAGTATGTCTATTTTATGGGAGGGAGGGAAAAGTCCACAGCTTTCAAATTCTCAAAGAGATCTAACACTCAAAATAATTCAACAAGTGCTATTTAAAATTAAAAAAAAATAAAGTTTTCTAATAACTTAGAAATGTAATAAAGCATAAAGCCATTTTGAATTTTTATATCATGTTAACACAATTGAAAACGTGAGTGAAGAAAATCAAAGACCTCAATTCTAGGTCAAATCAAGTTTGATAGAGAAAGATCACAAACCACCCAGTGACTTACTAGCATGTCACTGACTTGGTGAGTAATTATGGCATATCTTATACATCATGTGTCATAAAAATATTTGATGACAATATGAAACCATCTTAAATGTATTGGGAAATTTGTTTCTTCAAGGAGGACAAAAGGAGAAAAGAGCATTTATTCATTTTACCGTGAGAGTCAGGTAGGCATCAAAAAGAACACAGTGCTGAGATCTTCTGAGAAGTACAAAGGCCCACTGGGAAAGGCAGGTTTTTAAAATATAATACAGGTAAGTGGCAATTAACAGCTTCCTTGGCAAGCTAAAGAACACTTCTAAAAAGAATTGACCTGTAATCTGACCAAAACTGCAGACTACAATGGACAGACATTTCAGGCTGTAAGAAAGTGTACAGAGGTGTAGATGGAGGCCTCCCATGTGCTGGCTGGAATGGGCCAAGATCCAGAATGAAAATAATCTATGAACTGATGAATTTGGAGGTTTTGCTGAATACAAAAAGCCATAGCTATTAAAGGTCTGTGAAGAAAGGACTGTTGTGAAAAAAATGTTTGTGTTTTTAAAAGATAATGCTGGGAACAATGTAGGAGGTGAACTAATGTGGGAAAGAAGAGGTAAGAAGGGCTGGAATTGTGGCTCAGAGGTAGAGCACTCACCTACCATGCATGAGGCACTGGGTTCTATCCTCAGCACCACATAAAAATAATGATATAAAGATATTGGGTCCACCTATAATTAAAAAATGTTTTTTTTTTTTTTTTTTTTAAAAAAAAAAGAAGAGGTAAGAAAATCCTTGGGTGAAAGCGTTTTTTTTTTTTTTCCTACTAAAATTGATCATACCGGATCTTTTTTGAAGTTCAGGTTAACTTTCTTTGTGGCACTGGGGATTGAACCCAGGGCCTCACACATGCTAGGCAAGTGCTCTACCACCAAGCCAAATCCCCAGCTCTTTTACTTTGAAACAGGGCCTTCCAGAGTTGCCCAGGCTGGCCTTAAGCTTGTGATCCTTCTCCTCAGCCTGCTGAGCAGCGGGAATTATGGGCAAGTGCCCAGGCATTTGACCATAAATAACTTTTTAAAAAAGCAATGTGTGTCTTTAGTTGGAGCCTTAATTGACAATTTAGTGGCAGACTATCAGGGAAACTTATCACAGGCTGACTAGGTGCTAACAACCACAGGTGTGGCTGCTGCTTACCTGTAACAGAGAGGTTGGTCACTGTGGCACTGGTCAGGGGGAGTACAGGGTTGACTGTGAGGGTAGTTGCTGTACTGCTTGTCACAAGGCTTGGTGTGGTTGCCACCTACAGGCCAGACACAAAGACACAAAGAAAGCACTCAACTCAAACCTTGAGATAAGCTTAGGTTTCAATAATGTTGAGTCAGATACACGCTAAGTCAGTAAGGAATGGTATACTAATTATCCACTTTACCTAAACAAGAAAACGACTTGGCAGGATCAGGAATCTGAGGTTCTTGTATAACTTTTACTTTTGATTCTGTGGGGGCAAGATTGTCTCATTTCTGATACCATATAAAAAGACTGCAAAGCAAATGTTTAAAAAACGTTCTTTTTGAAATAACAAAATAATTCTGGAGTTTTATATAAAAAAATATTGTCTTCTTTCTAATACAAATAAATGTGAAACAACAAATAGTCACATACACAAAATAAAACTTACCTAATGCCCATCTTCTTCATAACAGCTATCTCATAACATCTTCTTCATAACAGCTATCTAACCCTAACTTAAAGGTTTTAGCCGCGCCATTTAAGAACCAAACATGTGCTTTTAATGCTGACTTTAGGTTAAAACACCTTCCTAAATGCAATGTTATTTAAATAACAAATTAACAAAAAAGGAAAGAGAAATGCAAACTCGACAATCTTTACCTTTTGAACCCTCAGGGGCACAGGGGCAGTCACATTTATGATTGCCCTAGAAATCAGGGGAGCCATGTGGCTATTACATTTCCTTCCGTCTGGGAACACCATCCTAAGTGCGGACAGCAGGAGTTACTCAAGGAGGGAGTCTATGAAGAACCATGCATGTGAGAGTGAAGGTCTGAGGCGACTGCTTGAGCACAGCCAAGGCCACAGTTTACCTGGGAACTTACTATCACTCAATTATAATAACTGTAGAACATTAGGCTTTAGGCCTTAACATAAGTCAAGAGTAATTAAATTTTTTTTGAGATAACTAAAAAAAATTTACCACTATAGTTACAGTTATTGGTTACCCAATAAACTATACCAGAGACAAAAACAATGAAATAGGTAAAGAATTAAAACTGTTCATTTTAAAAAATAAGAAAGACCATTAACTTCTTGGATTAGAATGTGAAATTTCACTGTTTTGGAAATATCTGAAATATAAATTTATATGCACTTATTCAATATGAATGCTGTACATATACAATAAATTCCTGTCTGTTAGAAAATAAACTGACGTCAGAAGCCGTCTGTGAAATCATAAGTGAGCCCCGAGCCCGCATCTGCTGTCTTTGCTCTCACCAGTGAGGCTGGGCTGGGGAAAACTGCTTTGATAGGAGAGCTGCTGGTCCCACCACTGCTCGGTGGGTTGATTCTTTTTTCCTTCTGCCGGCGGTTACAGAACCACACCCGAATCACCTCCTTTTCCATATTGAGCTGTTCAGCAATCAAGGTGATCTCTTCCGAGGTAGGCTTTTGATTCTGAAGAAAAAAAATCCCATCTTTTGGAATAACTTTTTGAACAAATGATATTGATACAATCATAGAGAAAAGCAAGTCAGAAAATGAAGTCAGGAAACTTATGACCATATTAGGCCACTTTCGATATAGATACAATTTCTAATGAATCTGCTCATGTTAACTTAGAATAGGCTATTCTTGAATATTTAGATATAATATTTATTTATAAAAGGTGCATTAATTTTGGGAGTGGGTGTAATACTGGGGATTGAACCCAGGGGTGCTCTACCAGTGAGCTCCATCCCCAGCCCTTTCTATTATTTTTATTTTGAGACAAGGTCTAATTTGCCAAGGCTGGCCTTCAAATTTTGGTTCTTCTGCCTCAGTTACCCAAGTCACTAGGATCATATATGTGCGCATCACTGCACCTGACTCTCAATCCTTTGAATTAGAGAAGCCACAATTCTGGGGCTGGGGTTGTGGCTCAGTGTTAGAGTGCTTGCCTAGCACATGTGAGGCCCTGGGTTCGATCCTCAGCACCACATAAAAATGAAGTAAAGATATTGTGATCACCTACAACTATAAAAAAATAAATATTAAAAAAAAAGAAGTCATAATTCTGTTGGAAGCTTTTATTATAATATTCCCTAGTACAAAAGAGATGCTGGGAGGGGCTGAGATTGGGGCTTAGCGGCAGAGCACTTGTCTCCCACATGTAAGTCACTGGGTTTGATCCTCAGCACCACATAAACTTGAATACAAAACAAAGAAATTGTGTCCATGTATAACTAAAAGAGAGAGAGAGAGAGAGACAGACAGACAGACAAGACAAGACATGATGAGTGTCTTCAGCGTTATCTTGAACTTCAAGATCTCTAGTATTTGGCCCCAAACTACCATTGTAAGCACACAGACGCTAGAATCCAATCACCATTGGTGTCTCACTGGTGCAGCCCAGGCAATTTGAAGTGCTTTCCACCATCTTCTCTAGGCTGTAGAGGTAGCTGCCATGCATCCTACGGGTCACTGCCACCTCTTGTGCACAGAACACATACACATGGCTGCCACCAACTTTCTCGAGTCCACGTACTCTGGTCTGTCTTCGTGGTAAATAATCTGCCTTGTCTCATTTTCTCCACTATGTTGTAAGTGTCCTACATTAACTACAGACAATTCCGTGCACATGAAAAACAGACCCTTACTGACCTCCAAGAAACTCTTCTCTAAGGCTGCACGGATGTTGGTCTCTATGCTGGTGCGTTTCTTTCTCCTACGATTCAAGCCCTCAACTCCTTGTCCTGAGGAATTGAGGGCACTTGGGCTGGAGACAGCTGAATCAGATGAGAGGTTCTCTGTAAGAATGAATCAAATAGAAATAAGATTTCAGATGTGAGTCATATGTGCACAACACATGTTAACCCCACCAACAAAACGGATAAAACATTTTAAACTACATCCTAGCATAAGAGGTCTTCACCCAAGCTACATCACACCACCACATGGATTCAGTGCTCGTACTGGCATTCTCTGGCCCAGGATGGCTGGCTACAGAGCCACCACACTACTATTTTGGTTCTCTTTCTGAGAATGTAGAAGTTTACTATTCTTATGTTTTGACTCAGATCTCTCTCAGTTCTGTTCTTATGTTTTGTTCTTTTTATAAAACCGATAAAAGGGGATAAAAGGGAGAAAGCCTCTTGGAAACTGTTGAGTGTTTAATATAATATTTATCTTATAAATAACCTTTCATTTTATTTATATGATATGGGGGCGGGGAGAGAAAGACTACTTGTAAATTCCTTAGTTAAAATAATGTTCTGTCATTTAACAGCTTAACGGCCCACAGTATGGCACACTCATCTCTGGACTTCTTTCTACTACATGGAGAACGAGATAGAGCAGACCAGCAGCTCTCACCTGGGATACTCAGAAGGACTATGATGGCTCACCCAAGGCTGCTGAAATGACCAAATGTGTGTTTTCAAAAGGCCTGATTTTTGTTCACATCTACAAAGAGAACCACAATCTAGGGCACCTTTCGGGTTCCCTTTGGCTCTCATGGTTTATCATTCTGTGGTTCAAAACCCAATTTTCCAAAAGGAAATCTTGGCACAAAATAGTTAAGACCAGAAGCCCAAATTTTTGTATAAAATATGTGCCATCTTTAATAATAAAAGCAGAAGTGTTACCAGGAACAAGTTCTATGATAATACCCCAAGGAAGAAGCAACAAATCCGCTGAACTTTATCTAACTACACAGCCTTCTTCTCCTCTTCCTCAAATTTGAGTGCACGTCGCAATCTGGCTCAAACACAACAGGTATTTGAAAGCTGAAAATTATTGCTTATTATTTACATTGTCATTATTAGAATATTTAAAAGAATTAGCTCTCTGATTTACATAGCCATAGTTTATGATCCTCCTAGGATTAATGGGCTTCAAAATTTTGTAGTCAGCTGGGATTGTGAAACAGACTTCTTGTCTCTTACATGTGAGGCACTAGGTTTGATCCTCAGCACCACATAAAAATAAGTAAACAAAATAAAGATATTGTGTCCTTGTATAACTAAAATATTTTTAAAAATTGTAGTACGAATTGTACAGTAAAAATTAAAAACTCTATAGTTTATACAAAATTCCAATGAACACTGAAGAAATATTTTATACCTCACTTACCTGCATCATTTAGCCACTTCTCTAAAAGTGGCTTTAACTTGCACATGTTCTTAAAGCTGAGGTTCAAGGCTTCAAAGCGAGAGATGGTAGTTTGGCTGAAGTCATTTCCATATAGTTTACCCATAGCAAGCCCAACATCACCCTGCACAACCCAGAGCAGGAAATGGGGAGAGAAGAAGAGAAGTTTATCTCATTAATAATCCTTCATTCTGGGGGGATGCTCCAATAACTGCTCTAGACAAAGAATCAAAAGTCATTCTCTTTACTGGGTCCTGCACAAGTTCCACCCCTAAGCTGAGCACAATATTATAAAGGAGGACTCTGTAGGGCTTTGATCCATGTCAGTGTTCAACTCTGCCCCATATACTTTCCATTTTGAATCTCTTTTTGCTATCTTATATGATAATCATGATAACAAAACTTCTGTAAGTCTCTAAAACAGGGTGATATTCTTAATCAATGCAACCAAAGTAATATAAGTAATCTTTAACCAAAGTAATATAAGTAATCTTTAAAAATCAATTCACCTGTATCACCTACCAGGATTAGGTGTAACTGTCTAGATAACCCCAGGCATTTCTGAGCTAATCAAACTTCCCATAACACACTTCAAAAATTACAAATGATCCTTCATTCTTTTTATTTTTTTCTTATAAAGTATTTTTGGAAGCTCTGGGGGGGGGGGAATCAATTTCCACCCTTAGTTTGGATTTCAAAGTTGGTTACAAAAACAGGTATTCAAAAAGATCACTTTTGTAACCATTGTAGAGAGAGAAATTCACAGTAGAGAGGTCTGACCCATTTAGTCAAAGCTTCATGGGTCCTGGAAACCTGGTGGCTGTAGAGAACAATGACTCCTGAATGTATTACAGAATGTGTCTTTCACCAGGCACCTGGAACCTTTGAAATGTGCACGTGCCTTTCTTCCAGCTGGATTTTCCCTGTTCAAGCTGGAAAAGGCCAGGTGTTAACAGGCAGAAGCTCATGGAGTTTAAATTAGGTATCCACTCATTTCAATTAGTTCAGTGACAGGGACAAAAGGCAACAGCAGCTAACTCTCCCAAGAGGCAGCCTGCTCCCAGCTATCCTGGCCACACTGGTACTGAACTGGACTGTCCTACCTTGTGACCCACCCCATCATCTTCTGGATACTATACTGTTATTAGCATCTGCATCAGGTAGTAGTTGAGGAAAAGAAAGAACTCCCCTGCCCAACTCCATTTTCTTACAGGTGAAGTACTCCTGACAAAAAGTTTCACAAAACACAAATGTGAATAAAACGAGGCATAGAGAATACTTAAACTTCAAATGATCTACAGCCCAGGACTCCCATATGAAAGCCACAAGCCATACAAGGCTATTTACATTAAAATTCATTAACATCAAATTAACTAAAACTGCAGTTCATCAGAACATTCCCTTTCTGTTGGTGCTGGGCAGGCGCTGTGGCTTCCACTGCAGTGGACTGCTCATCACCTTCCTCCCAATTAGGCGGGAGGGAGGGACCCGGGCGGGGCAGGCTGCACAGAGGGAGGGCTCCTCTACCAGGGGCACTCCCAAGTGTTTGCTGCGGGTCAGGCACTGACCTTAGGCCCATGTGCTGCTACCCATTCACACCTGGGACACTCCATCCATTTAAGTTTATGGTTTCAAAAAAAACTGGGGCAACTTAAACTTGCAATTTTTTGAGTATGACACTGAGTAGCAGTTAGATGACAAAAAATGTTTTCTGAAGTACAGTGGAAAAATTCACTAAGAATTTTTTACAAATACCTGTAATATTTAATCATGAAAGTAATAATTTTGACAAGTAAGCAAAAAATACCTATTCAAAAAAATCATGTCAGCTGGGTGTGTTGGTGCAGGCCTATAATCCCAGTGGCTCAGGAGGCTGAGGCAGGAAGACTGTGAATTCAAAGCCAGTCTTAGCAACTTAGGCCCAAAGCAACTCAATAAGAACTTAAAATATTTTAAAAAAAAAGGGGGGAGGGTGTTGTGTATGTGGCTCAGTGGACAAGCACCCCTGTGTTTAATCCCTGGTACCAAAAAAACAAAACAAACAAACTAAAAAAACCCATCACATCATAGCAAGTATATAAAAAAAAAATACTTTCAGTTGGTGTCTGGTAAAGCTGTGCCATCAACTAGAACCATGCCAATAAACGGCAAATTCACTTAACTGAGATTTGTAATACAATGTTACTCCACTCTTAAATTGTTTGGTGGAATAAAAATCAATATGTCCTTTAGTTAACATATCAATTTTCAAAATTTTGCTATGTGCTTGGATAAGTAATCTTGAAACTCTTGGATTCTTCCCCACAAGTCAAACATTTTAAACAGCTGATTCATACATGATCTGAGCTATATTATATCCCCTAAATATTTTTAAAAAGAGCAAGAGGAATAAAGAAAGATTGGGACTAGGAAATAATGAATCCACTACATTTTGTAAACGTGTTATACCTATGACATGCTTTATAATAATGTAATAACACCCACAGCAATCCTTTAGTAAGTACTTATGTAATTAGAATATAATTGTTCTAATAATGTATATTTACTCAGAGAATAGGGATTTGTTTCAATAATGTTTAACTTTCCTTCTGTGTATAAATATAATAACCAGATACAATTCTGCCTTTGCACAATTACAACAAAAGTGAGTAACTTAAAAGCTAAGTTGATTTTCTCATGCTGCAGCAGTACGTGTGTTTTAATCCACCTAATCAAGGTTTGCAAACTCCTATAACTGCTATGTCCAAGTTATTCTGAAAAATAAGGAATGGTCATGCAAAACACAGGATGGAACCATAAAGCAGAACACAGGCCCACAGGAGAACTCCTTTACCTGGAAAGGGAGGGACACACACACACACACACACACACACACAAACCACTGGCAATGTATCGGGTCATATGCTGCAGAAAGGTGAACCATGATTTGGGTGAATGTTAAAAAATAAAAGCCTTGGCATATCGCTTAAGCAAAAATCTCCCAGGAAACCCAAGAGTATGCTGTGCTAATAGCTTAAAACTGGGCACACTGCTAAACATGCTAATACCTATTTCAGCTTATTAACTTACCCTTTCAATCAATCCAGTTTTAATCCTTTCAATCCAGTTTAATCTTGAGTTTTATTTTTAAAACAAGTCAGATCACTCAGGTGCTTAAAAAGTACTAAAATGTTTCTGGATTGTAATTTGTTTCTTTATAAATGAACTCCTCAAAAATGTAACAAAATTTCACCTAAAATTACATCTATTTAAAAAATCATTGTGTCCCTAATGCGTACTTTCTTTGAACAAAAATAAATTCCCAAATAAATATAACAGAAATCCATTTATAAAAACATAAATAAACATCAACTAAATATCATAAGCAGAGATGTCATCTTGATCCACCACAGCAGATGGTGCATTACATACTTTCAACACAAAATAATTAGGGTAGTATATAAATGTTGGCTTAAATTCCAAATAATAACTATATTCTCTGGAAAGAAAATTTTAGGATTTTTCTGGACTCCATAAAAACACCCAACCCAACCCACACTTCAGGTTTTATTCCTCCACCTCATAACCTCCGACACTCTGTACCAAGGTCATTCAGATGAACTCTTCTCCTGCTCTGATAAAAGGTGTGACTCAGGGTAGTGCTCAGAGTGAAAATGGAGGATGCCCAGATGACTGCCGAGTACCCTCCTTCCATTGGGGAGCCCGCTGCTAGCTGACATTAAAAAACTAATTTGGATTTTGATTAATTTGTATTTTTCATTTTCAATAGACTCTTACTTGATTAACTGGTTTCAACACAGGCTTAGAGAGATTGTGTGTGTCTACCCCCACCCTCTTCCCCAAAAGCTATTATTCTTTTCTTTCCTTTTTTTTTTGGGTATTGGGAAGAGAACCCAGGGGTACTTTACCATGGAGCTACATTCCTCAGCCCTTTTGTGCTGTACTTTCTACTTGGAGGCAGATCTTACTAAGTTTCTTAGGTCCTTGCTAAACTGCTGAGGCGGCCATGGAATTTGCAATCCTCCTGTGCCAGCCTCCCAAGTCACTGGGAAAAAAACTATTTTTAAATGAGCCTTTCAAACATATCCATTTCAGCTATTATAAATAAACACTGTAAGTTTTACTCTTAGATAATGTAGCAGTAAGGTCACAACCAGATGTTCTTCAAATAATAAAACCTTCAGTACAGTTATATCATCCCCCAATAAAATCTTTCAAACGCTCATAATTTATTAATGTAATTGTGATTTCAGAGGCCTGGGCTGTGGGATGAATCTTGGATGTTTTATCTAACATTAAATCATAAATGTACGACTGTAACTTATAGCTGAATGCATAACGTTCTAAACTTACAAATGCTAAATATGACAAGAATCTATAGTCAAATCAAAACCACCATGGCCGAGGGATACCCTGCTCCCTGAAGCCCCTTAGACTCACACCAGGAGGCTGCCTGGGGGTCTCCTCCTACCTGAGTGAAGCCGAGTTTGATCCGCCTCTGTTTGAAGGTCTTGGCAAACTGCTCGAGCTCCTCAAGGTCGCTGGGCTCCTCCAAGCTGGGAGTGTCGATGCGCTTTGGTGTGGTCTGGCTCTGCGGAAGTGTCTGGATAGGGGTTGCTGCTATTGTGCGTGTTGGGGTTGCTGGCTGTTGTGAAGGGACAAAATGACAAACAAGCAAAAGACATTTAATTTACAACAGTGACGTGCTGCAACCAAACACATTAAGACACTAGTTGACTTGTGGAGAATGAGGATGACCAGGGAGCACTACAGAGGGTATAGCACACAGTTCACTGGGAGTGCCGGCCTGGGCTTAGGCATGGGGCAATCACAGCAGGTCTAGGGAAAAAACCTGGAAACATACAGATAAAATCAACTGTAATGAGCACATGATCCTTAAAGATGTATCTCATGAATTGCCACACAGATTGGCAAAACAGCAGGGACTACATCTGACTTACTCCATCTCCAAATGTGACAGTATTATAAGACTATCAAGACCATTTTAGGGGAGAACTTAAACAAATTGCCTGTACTTTAAAATAACTTAAACAGGCATCATTTGGAGTATTTATTAAATTTTTACCTACAGGCCTACTTTTTAATCCTACCTGTAATTATGATTATGTGATACATGATTTTATATTATACTTTCTCAGGTAATATTATGTTTTAACTTTTTTCTATGGTGATTTAGTCTTCAAGATTATCCTTTTCAAAGAATGAGGCAGTTTTGTCATAATTTATTTAATCATTTCTTAATTGCTGGACAGTTTTTCATTTATGTTTCATTCTATAACACAGAAAATACCACAAGGAAAAACTTTGCACATCTAGTTATCTATGTGTAAGCAGCTCCTCAAGATCAATTCACAAGATTTTTCTGGCAATGGACAAATAATGTCCTGGTTTTGATATGCTACTGTAGTCTTTACTACATGACACCTAGCTTCCTCCACATGGATGGTGTCAGCAGTTCCTTTATTTCCACTTTGGGTGATTATGAACAAATCTGCATAACCAATATATATGGGTCTTTCATTTCTGCAGACATGTGCCTTCGTTTCTAAGAGTCATAAGACACATATATATTTCACCTTATAAGAAACTGCCAAACTAATTTACAAAGTGTGTATATGTTTTGTTCCTCAGGGTATACACTCAACATCACCTCTGCTGTAACTTGTATTCCTTACTACTTTCTATTACGTAGAAATCGCCCCATGTGTTAATTATTATCTGCATTTTCTTGGATGTGAACTAGATTTATATCCTTAACCCACTTATATATTAATGATATCCTCATTCTTGTTCTTAAAGGTATTTGTCAAACATTTACCAAATGTGGCAGTGTGTGCCTTAGTGTAATCATATTAATGAAAATAATTTTCCAAATGTGCTTTTTTTCTTTTAACTTAAATGCACGTAAACTTCAAATGATCATTTGGTTCGAGAAGTCTTCCTACCTTCCAGTATCTTCAGTAGTTCAAATGGGAGAAAGCACCACTTATTTCAAACACTGAACTGAGAAGTTTCCTTCTGATCATCTGCTACCACCTTCTTTATATTTTGTTTAATTACTTATATCCATGTAAAGTTTAGTCTGGGACATAAAATTATAGCCTATCACCTTCTTTATCTCCCTTTGTGCTAAAGACTCAGTCCAGGGCCTAGGGTATGCTAAGCACGTGCTCTAGCCTCTAGCACTGAGCTACCCCTAGTCCCTGTCCGTGTGTCTTTTTTTTTTTTTGGTACCAGGGATTGAACCCAGGGGTGCTTAACCAGTGAGCCATATCCCCAGCCCTTTTTCAAAATTTATTTTTTATTGTATATTTTGAGACATGGCTCACTAAGTGGCTAAATTGCTGAGTCTGGTTTTGAACTCGTGATCCTCCTGCCCAGCCTTCTGAATTGGTGCACCACTGCCTGCCTCTCTTTCTTAAAAAGGAAAATATTAAATTTTCTTATTACAAACGCCAGGCTAGTGTTCTCCTCACAAGCCCTGAGTAGGACTCTCTAGAACCTCTTGTGAGTACTCACTAATGGGAAGTGCTGCTCTTATTTTGTATCCTGATTGCTCAGCTGAATAGCAGCTTGTTGAACAGTAGCCCAGGTGAAGGATTACAGAACAAGGCTGCAGATAAAGACTATGAATTTCCCTTTGTGAAATTCAGATGAGTCATGTATCCGACCTTGACTTCATTTGTCAAGGCTCTCTCCAAGGAACTGATATTGCAGAAAACTACAATAGGCACCACACCATCACTGGGTAAGTTCATTTCTATCTGCTTCCATGAAGGCAATGAAGTTCATCTTCATGACATATGGACACTGAGTAATATTCAATCCAGCAGTTTTGGTGGAGCCGAACACAGCACCAACCACACCAGAATTCTATGTGGCCTCACATTTCCCACAGTGACACTGGCTGACAGGTGGAGGTATGTCTCAAATATTGGATTTTACTTAATCTCCAGGTTTCAAGCAGCCTCTTTTCCAAATCGTACAGGACCAAGTGGAGTTACAGATAAGATACCCAACTCAAGAACCCCAGGCCTGACCGGGCCAGATGTACAAATGGCAGAGTGGAGTACAATAAGCAGGAGCCAGGATGAAGCCATGAGAGTCTTAACCATGCGCAGAGCATGCACACTAGGAAGAAGTCTCCAGAGTAGGCGTTTGTGAAAATCTCAGCCTTACTTCTGCTACTTGACTTATAAAAGGGCGTACTTTGTTTTGGAAACTGAATACAGTTACATAAGTACTAACACAATGAAGATACCGAACGTGTTCATGACTCCCCAAAGTTCCCTTGTGCCTTGGCAATTAACCTCCATCATTAGCTTCCAGTCCCTGACAACCACTGATTGAATGTCTCAATACCTACAGTTTTATCTTTTCTAAAATATCATGTGAACTGAATCATACAGCATGCAGTCTTTTATATCTGGCTTCTTTCATTTAGCTTAAGCCTTCTGAAATTCATACACATTGTTGCATTGTTTTAAGAATATTTTCTCCCCATCTGTGCTTTTTCATTTTATCCTCTTAAGCTTTTAATTTTTATGCAATTAATCATTTTTATTATTTCATGGTTAATGCTTTGTGCACTGTTTCACAAAATCATTGCCTTACCCAAAGGCATAACAATTGTTCCCCAAGTTTTCTTTTGGAAGTTTAGGTCTATGATCCATTTCAAATTAATCTTTGCATATGGTATGAAATAAGGGTCTAGGTACTTAAATAAGATTAAAGGTTTGTTTTTGTTTTGTTTATGGACAGCCAACTGTTTCAGCATCATTTGTTGAAAGATTTTCCTTTCTCCATTAAAATCCTTTGATACCTTTGGAAAATCAGCTGGTCATTTATGTGGGTCTACTAGACTCTCTATTCTGTGCTACTGAGCTATACTTTTATCTACATTGCAATACCACACTATCTTCATTACTATAGCTTTATGTTAATTTTTTGTGTAACTGGGGATTAAACCTTGGGGTGCTCTATTATTAAGCTACACCCCCAGCCCTTTTAATTTTTATTTTAAGACAGGGTCTTACTAAGTTGCTGAGGCTGGCCTTGAATTTGCATCCTCCTGCCTCAGCCTCCCAAGTAGCTGGAATTAAAAGTATTCACCATCACACCAGGCCTTTAAAAAGCTAATTCTTGACATAAGAAAATCCTTCAAATTTTTTTACTTTAAAAATTGTTTGTTCTATGAATTCTGCAATTTCATATAAACATTAGAAGCAGCATACAAATTTCTACAAAAAGGCTGCTCTGGGTTTGATTATCCATTTGGGGAAAATCAACATTTGAATATCTTATATCTTCTGACTCACAAACACATTCATTCTCTCTGACCCATAAGTCTTTAATTTCATTCAGCAATATTTTGTAGTTCTTGATGTTCAGACCTTAAAGATTGTTATATTTTCTTAATTCCAATATCCAAATGATCATTGTTAGTGTACAGAAACATAAATGCTTTTGTATACTGACTTTGTATGCTACATACTTGCTACAACTCTGTATGTCCTTTCTTTTTTTGTGTGTGTGTGGGGGTAGGGGGCTTGGGAGAGAGTACCTGGGATTGGACTCAGGGGCACTAAACCACTGAGCAAATCCCCAGCATCCCAGATCCCTATTTTGTATTTTATTTAGAAACAGGGTCTTACCAAGTTGCTTAGCACCTTGCTGTTGCTGAGGCTGGCTTTGAACTCACAATCCTCCTGTCTCAGCCTCTGGAGCCACTGGGATTATAGGCGTGTGCCACCGTGCCTGGCTGTCCTTCTTTTTCTTGTGTTACTGTACCGCTAGGTTCATCAGTGCACTATAAATAGTGGCAACAGTGGTCACCCTGTCTTGCTATAATCTTAGAAGGAAGGTGGTCAGGCTTTCATTGTTAGGTATGATATGGGTGGGATTTTTGATTGCTCTTCCTTTTTCTTAATCTGGTAAAGGGCATTCCTACAGCATGTCCCTCCCCACTTTAAAGTTACCTCCTAGTAGGACTAGGACAGGAAAGGGTTCTTACTACAAATAGATGTTGAACTCTGCCAAGTCTGGCAATGTGCCAGAAGTGAGTTTTAACCTTTTACTTTAGATACAGAATCAGACCCAGAACTGGGATTCAGAGTGAGCCAGTTCAGTCAATTTACAGGTGAGTAGACTAAGGTTCTGAGAGGTGAAAAGACAGACATGTTCAAAGTGACTGCTAGGTTAGAAGGAGAAGGTAGGTCAATGCTTACACTTCTATACACCTTCTAGAAGATCTGTGAATTTTGTATGGGTATATGGACTAATAAAAATGAGCTAAAGTAACATGTAAGCACTGAGACAAGAGAAAATATAGAGATCTGACCTCTTTGCAGTTTCTGAGAAAGGGCAAAGGACAATGGCAGATTTTAAGTGAGGCATTAGGTTTCCGGTTCAAGTGGTAATATCTACTGTCAACTACGTGTGTGTGCAAACAGCCAAGATTCATCACTCACTTATTGCTAACAGTTACTCCTTATGAACCATGAGAAAACAGGGACTCTGAAAATTTTCAAATACCACATCAATTTGATAGCATTGCTTTGTCAAGCCAGATTTGAATTTTTGACTAGTTTCTGAAAACTGGATTCTTTTTATTAAGTTAAAATAGTCCAAAAATTTCTCAAAATGACGTTAAAAAACAAAGAGCTGACCTGGGAGGCGAGGGTGGTGCTGGGCTGCGGCTGCAGGAGGCTGGCTTGGCTCTGCTGAGGTAGCTGTGTTAGAAGGCTCTGCGCTTGCAGGAGACCTGGCAAACACGGACATGTTACACAGGATCACTAACGAGCACTGTGAACACACAGCAAAAGAAAGAACGGGGATGTGAACTGAAAACTTCTAACCAATCTTCTAATAGTCAAACTCGTCCTGTTTGTCTAAAATTCAATCTTGTTAAATACAAACTGGGCAAGTAGAAATAAACATGAATGTACGTGCCTTTAGTGTAACCAGAATAAGTTCTCTGATAAGCCAATTCTTTATTTTAGCAAGGAATGGATGAAAATGTAGAGTTATTCCAAATGGAAGCAGTTGAAAATTCTAACAAGAGCTCCTCCTCTTACTCCCGCATCTGTTAGAATCTGCCAGTACCAGAGAAATACCCAGTTCATGAAAGAACCAGGCTATTCTTTAAGTGGTAAAAAGATGCTGCTTTTAAGTTCTCTTTAACAAACATTTGCCTTCTGGCGATAATAAGGTGGAAATGTAAACTCTAAACTCTATCTGATAGATGGGTGTGGTGTCATATACTTGTTATTCCAACTACTGGGGAGTCTGAGGCAGGATCCCATGAGTGCAGAGTTCATAAGAGACTGTGCAAAAGGGAAAAAATAGCAATAGCAGCAATACTACACGGTGACAACTGACTCCTGAGGAGAAATGTGAGTCCCAATGTGTTCATAGTAATGCTCAGAGGAGCACCTGAGTCTAGGATTTGTTACTTTCACAACCTTGTCAAGAAAGAACCAACCCAAAAGCTATTTTGTCCATCTACAACTAAAATATTAAAAAAATAAAGAACCAACCCACGATACTTGTATTCAAAGATTTAATATGGGTACATAGTTTTAAGTATAATGCTATTGCTAAAATACTACATTTAGGATGATCTATAAGAGCAGTGGTAGGAATTCTCCAAAACGGTACATCAAACAAAGCCATTAAATATATATATATAATATATATGAGATAAGATTAGCTGGGAGCAACAAAATCTTCCTAATTAGGATTTTCTAGGCTACTGAATTTGGAAGTACTGAATGTTGAAAAACTACATTCTATGACAATGATTAAAGGCAACCTGGTAAATAAAATTATTTATAAAAGAAAATTAATTATCAAGAAAATAAAAAAAAATAGTGATAATAAATAAAACAGAAGAAAGCATGAAGGTCAGAAATCAGATCCCATTATTAAACTTAGGCATTTCAACATGTGAGTGTCTTTAGTTTGGCAATGAAATTTAGATTTTTGTTAATTATTCAAAAAAGAATATATTTCCAAAATGATTCTTATTCAATCATAAACTATAATCCCAAATGATTCATTTTGGTTGCTAGTAGCATGTTCTATGAATAAATTCAAACCATAGATCTTTTTCTTCCAAATGAGCACAGCTAAAAATGCTAGAAGGGCCCACAGAGGTTTAAAATTTACCTGAGGACCAACACTTGCCACCTCCCCCAACCTCAAAGAGTCAAACAAATGAAACACAAATGTATTCAACAGTTTCCCAAGAGGAACATTTCTTTGATACTTTTGGAATAAATGGAGAGAGTAGAAAAGGCAGTAGAAAGGTTAAGAGTAGAGATTTCCAATATACCAGGCCTGGTGGCTTGCACCTGTAATCCTAGCAACTTGGAAGGCTAAGGCAGTAGGGTCCAAGTTTGAGGCCAGCCTTGGCAACTTAGCAGGGCCCTGTCTCAAAATAAAAAAAAAAAAAATAAAAAGGCTTGGGGATGTAGCTTGGTGATTAAGCACCACTGGGTTCAGTTCCTAGTACCAAAAAACAAACAGAAAATCCTCCAATAAATTGTAACTCAAGTTTGGAAATGTATTAGTAAGAATTTTCTTAAGAAAATCTAAGAAAAATAATAATAAAAATAATTCTGGAAAATGGTTTAGATTTCCCTCCCTTGTCAGAAATTAAATCTTATACAGTTATATAATAGCAATATTGCCAAAAGTACGAACTATATTTCAAAAGTTCTGGATTAATAAATGAAAGGAAAAAAATCAGAAGAAATGGATATTTCAGGCTAATCTCATTCTGGAAATTATTATTAAAATCCCTACAAACTAAATCTGTCCCCTTCAACACTAATAGTTAAAAGTAAGAGCTGTTCAGATATTCAGTGCTCCTGGTGCTGCTGACCACAATGGATTCCACTCAGGAAAGCCTAACACCCCCACCCCCACTCCCACCCACACCCCGTTCTGACCCTGCATGCTGCAAGTCAGCCATCTTGGAGAACCAGCATGACTTGGCAGCAATGGCACCCTCAGACTCAGGCTACTTTTGAGCTGGTCTTTACTGTTCAAGGAGCTGTCAGCTTCCGAAATAGCTGACAAGGTTTGATGGCGACAGCAGCCCGGACCCAGAGGTTTCCATCTATGAGGTTCCTTTAGCAAAGTGCCTCAGTGCATTTACTCACCAGCCCTCTGCAACCCTTGGGTACAGGCTGACAGTATCCTCTTGTTGCAGGGGAGGGGACTAAGGCACCCAGGCAATGAGGCAGAGCCCAGATTCAGAGAGCAGCAGTGTGCCTTTGGAGTCTGTGCTCTTAACTACTATGTTATAATGACATTCCTGACATTGGTCAAACATTCTTCAAAACAGACCCATTTAAAGGGAAAGATGAAAAGGAAACACATGAAACTCAAGAAACGGTAGGTGACTTGTCCAATGTCACTGGCTCTAAAGCCAATCAGCCTTCCACTGTCTGCACTCCTTCCCAATCTAAGGTTTGGAGGGAAGAGGTTGCGAACATAGATAACCTTGGCAAATAAAAAACAGGAAAATGAATACTCATTTGTTATCGCAACTATATTAAGGTGAATTTTATTCTTTTAAATAAATAAAATGCAGTCCCAGATTTGAAAGAGGAAAGACAGCGCTCTTGGATTTGCCGAGAGTCAACGACAGCGCTCTCACTCAAACCTGAAGCTTCAAAAGTTTCCATGTCTAAAACATGTGCACTTCTGTCTTGACCTTCCAAGGTCTCCCTGCTCCAGACTGTTCCTCCTTCCCTGTAGGAATTCCCTTCCATTGGGATTACAACTCTTCACCAGCTCTGACTTCTAATTCTTCCTACAACTGAAGAGTTGGTTTTACCAACACTCTTCCACTAGTTTAGCCCTCACCAAACCTCAGTAGGACCATCGCAATGTTCTCCTAATTGGTATTACTCTGTTCTTATCCATTCTAATTTTTCTTCTCCAAGTTTCGGCATGAGCTTTTTAAATACAAAATATGATATGCCACTTTTTGCTTAAAGCTTCTGCAGTTTTGTATAACCTACAGAAGATTTCTTTATTGGAAGGTATTGGCCCATTCACATTAGACTCCCCAAATTGCTGGTTAAAATTCTGGGTGTGGGGCTCAGATATCTACTTTTCTAATTCTTCAAGTGACTAGCAAAAAAAAAAAAAAAGGAACCTTGGGAAGAATTAAGCTATTAGATTTAAGGTCAAGCTCCTGGATACCATGTTAGTTTCTTGAATGATCTGGTTGGTCTCTCTTAATCTTTCTGTCCTTAAGTTTCATTATTATTCAAACATGCAACTTATGGTTTTTTAAGGCATTACTTAACAGTTCTTGAACACAGCATATGAATTTTCCTCCATGTCTTTGAGCTTTGCAAAGCTGTTCACCTCCTCTTTGTCATCCTGTGCATGCCACGCCTTATCCCATCTCTGAAGGCTGCTATGGGAACAAAGATATGGAGGTCTCTCTGCTCAGCTCCTGCCGCATTCTGTGCACATAGGTTCTAACACTCATAACAGTTCTGTTTCTCTTCCACTAGACTGTGAGCTCTTTGAAAGTAAAAACTGGCTTATCCCTCTTTTAATTTTGAACATATGCTAAAATAGGTATTTACACAACAAAAGATTTTGGAATGACCAAGAAAAAAGGCAAAAATCAAACCAAAACAAATGCTCCAGAGATAATGAAGAACTGATACTTGATCAGTGCATATTGTATACATGTGTATAAATATTACACTGTACCACATAAATACGTACAATTATTTGATCATTATGCACTGTACACTGTACCAGTTATCACATTGTACTCCATAAATATGTACAATTAAAATAATATCTTAAAACATTAGTAGAGGGGCTGGGGTTGTAACTCAGTGGTACAGCATGGGTGAGGCACTGGGTTCGATCCTCAGCACCAAATAAAAATAAAGGTGTATTGTGTCCATCTACAGCTTAAAAAATATTTTTAAAAAATCAGTAGAAATGCACAAATGTTTTTGGGTTGAGCTCTTGATACCCTGATGTTTTCTACACCGATAACGTGAACCAGTCCTTACAAACATGACTGAACTTTTTTTTACTGTTTGATACAGTAATTATACAACAATATGTATTACATAAAGGGTTTTTTTTTTTTTTAGTATTCAGGAGTGAACCCAGGGCCTTGTGCATGTTAGGCAAGTGCTCTACTGCTGAGCTACATCTCAAGCCTTAATTTTTTTTTGAGACAGGGTGTTGCTAAGCTGCCCAGGCTGGCCTTACACCTGCACTTCTGCTGCCTTCAGGTTCCAGCAGGTACACACGGCTGTGCCCAGCTCAAAGACATTCTTTAACCACTCACAGAATGTGGGCAGTTTCTAATACAGCACCCTTTCCTTCTTTAAAAGAAACTAAGTTAGAAGCATATACTTTCAAGGCTTCGTATACAGCCTTTGAATACATTCCCATGATGAACTATGGAAGCAATAAAAGCAATTTATCCAATTTGTATTTGGCATGCTGAGTGGTTTCATTTAGACATTTGGCCAAAGCCTTGGTTCCTCTTTAGTGATGAAATGTTGACAAGGGAGGCAACCTTCAACAATGGGGTGTATATGACCAATAAGAAAAAAAGCATATCTTTCTTTACACACATAATGATATTTTAAAATCAATATTCATGAAAACCATTGTCCTAATGGCCAGCTGTAGTGTGAAAATGACACCCAGTGTTCATGTCACATTAAGCGGACAACCTTGGGGTGCCACTCAGGCCTAAGGAGAATCTCACCCTGCTGGCCCTGGGGAGTCTGTGAGATGATAAACTGCGCTGGTTGCAAGTTGGTGGTCGGGTGAACCAACACAAACTGTTGCAGGTTGAGATTCTGCTGTTGTAGCTGTTGCAGCTGTTGCAGATCCTGAAAAATCAGAATTAAACATGGAATGGAAATTCTGAAACCAACGTTCTCTTAATCCTAAGTTTCCCAGCCGACGACTTCTGTCACTCCACCTAGAGAAGAGTCAACATCTAGCATTATTTCATGTCCCAACGGTGTGTGCCGTGAATATGCTTCACGCAGCATGGAAAGACACTGGGGCTTCCTAAGACCTTACTATTTCTGTGGGCATACAGAGATTATGCTCAGCCTGATTTTCAAATGATATAAAATCGTCTCTGAACCAATGGTTACAGTTCTATTTTTTAATGTATAGAGACCAACATGGGTTTTAAAACTCCCATTTTGTGACAAAACAGCTTTTAAACATGACTCATTTTGTTCTTGTTAAGAAAAATTGAGTGTTATGTCTGAATTTCCGACAATAAACTAAGATCAATGACTCATGAAATTTGACACCAGTTTATCTAACTCAACTGGGAAATCAGGGTTAAATTACTAAAAAGAGAAAAATAGCTATCCCTACAAAAATCTGGTCCATAGCATAACAATAGCCTTGGTGGTCTCTAAGGTCTTGTGGCTATCAGACTGCTTTCAGACACATTGCCTTGCCCAGACTCATGTCAACACACAAAGCTTGGTGATGAAGAAAGCAACCCAAACTGAAATACTATCTTGATAAAGAAAGACTGCACAAAGAGTAATAAAGGTTAGCCTGACATCATTTTTTAAACATCTAGTCAAACTCTTGCAACAATTTAAGTCTACTATTGAGTCTTCTCTGGGGGGTAAAGGTAATTGTCCAGAATTAGACTTATAACTCTTCATATATTTTACTCATTGAATGAAAGTTCACCTTTTTCCTCTTTGTGAGATAAAAGATTTATTTTCCTCCTTGGTCCTACTGTCTATGCCTCTTAAATAATTTCTTTAATTGTATTTGGATTCTTCACCCTAAAATGAGAAAAAATCAGCCAAATAACACTGTACTGTGATTCTCCACAGTGCTAATCGCTCCAGAGCAGAGATGCCTTGCTGTCTCCCACACATGGTGGCCGTTCACTGCCAGCACGTGAAGAAGCACGCCTGCTGCAATTAGCTAATTAAGATAAACGCAGTAATCCCCTGCCTCAGAAATTCACCAGCTGCTTATTCAAGATCATCGCTTATATAAACAGTCAGTTATTCAAATAATCTGCTATGTGTTTATAACACCAACTCAAACAAGCAAACAAATGAATTATTGTGAACTCAGCAGTAAGAAAGAACTCTGTTAACTCACTATCTGGAGTTCCACACCAACCATCATAAAGCTAAGTGGACACTAAATAAAACCCACCACTTCCTCCTCGCTCACCTGTGCGATCTGGATGGGCTGAGACAGGGGGATCTGAGTCATAGGCGTGGCAGCAGAGGCGGAGATGGTAGCACCAGCAGCGCTGTGCTGCTGGCTGGCGGAGTGCTGCTGCACAGCTGCGGCCAGTAGTTGGGCCTGGGCTTGGGCCTGCTGCAGCAGCAGCTGCTGCTGGGCTGGTGTCAAGGTGAGCTGTGTGGACCAGAGCAGACAGGGTGTGGTTGAAGAAGCTGGCCTCCTACCGGACAACTGCTCTAAGTAAGTGACTCAAGTGGTGCCTGGCCCTAGTTACCCAACTTCACAATCAGCACTGCAGCTAAAATGTTTACTAGTGATTAAATGACCATCACTAGCAGAACATTTGAATTAAAATGGTAGTTCTCACTCCGGACTTAATCATTCAAGCTTACCCAGGGCTCTAGGGTTCAGGCAAGAAAGTAATTAACTAGTAAGCAAGGGAAAAAAAAAAAAAGAATAAATGCCGACAGGATATGAAAAGAAATTTACACCCAACAGAACAGCAAGTGATGAGTCAGATGAATGAGGAACAGGGATGCTGGATACTACCAGGAAAAGAACTGATAAGGCCCAGCTGCCTCCCCCTGGCACAAACCCCACCATATTCTAGCATTCCCATTATGTCCTAAGATGTGACTAAAGACTATGAGCCATTTGCTTCTTTTCTAAATCTCCCTACAGGCCCCTCTCACACAATCTTTTCTGTGTTGAAAGCACTGAATCTCTGCAACTTTACATCCCCTTCCAACATATTATCTCTGTGAAATAGGTGGTGACAACCACTTTCTTTACATGCAAATGAACCTTAATGCCCAGGTTTAATAGAAACTCCAGCCACAAGAACCTGGAATCTCAAGTGCCTCTTACTATTGTAGACACCAGTCACCAAAAAGCTGCATATGGTAAAGTGGGAAATGTATATAGACCCGATTTACACTTGCTTTCGTAAAGCAACTTATTTAAAATAAGCTTAAATCCAAGTTGCAAGTCTACAGAACTGCCATTTTGGAAACATTTCTAATTAAAAAAATGAGAAATCATGTAATATTCTGAAGTGCATTAAGAGTCACTTAGAGGCACAACCCTCCTTCTAAAAGGTTCTAACACAATCTGTGCATTATAAACAAGAATCAGCTAAGCATGGCGATGCAAGCCTGTAATCCCAGCAACTCCAGAGGCTAAGGCAGGATAGTACCAAGTCTGAGGCCAGCCTGGTCAACTTTGCAAGACCCTGTTCCAAAATTAAATAAAAAAGGTGGAGGATGGGAGGGAGCAGGGGGAAGGTCTGGGATGGAACTCAGTGGCTCAATCTCCAGTACCAAAAACCAAAACACAAAACCCCCATATGAATAAAAATGAAACTACTCATTACCTAGATGCATATATATATACAGATATATGCATGCATCTTTTTATTCTGAGGTTTGATGTGATATAAATGATGTCTTAAAGAAAACTGGAAATTTACTGCAGTCACATAGGCCAATTTGTTACCAGTAAAAATAAATTTACTGAACGTTATGTGCCAAGCACGGTTTTATGAGCTTTACATATATCATCTTTAATCCTTATAACAGTATTGGAATAGGTATTACCGACATCTCCATTTTACAGGAGGAAAACTGAGGTTCAGGGAGATGTCAGGGAGTAGTCAGCCCAGGCAGTATGCTGCAGAGCCTGGTATGAGACCATGTATTTTAGAACATTACTCAAGTCACTTAGGAGAAAACGTTTCCTTTTGTTGGTACTAATCCACTCTTGAACTTCTATCCTTCAGTGACGTCGTGATTCCAAACTGACAACTGCCACTTAGCCAATATAATGAATGGTCTCGACACGACTCCCATCTCATGATGAAGGAACACCTGAACATGGGTTTAGAAACTCCTCAGGTTATCTGCAACTGTAAAAAAAGACATCCTGAAATCCTGTGACAAAGGTGAGTCCTTTTTCAGAGCTGTCTGCAGCACTGGTAGTTCCTTAGACACAACAATGCCATGTTCAGTAAACAGTGCTGATCGGATGTTGGCTGATGGCACCTGTGACACAGGGGGAGTTTATTAAGATGTTCTCAGTGGAAACTTACCCCAGTTATCTGTCCTCCAGCAAGCATGAGCTGGGTCTGGGGGATGGCCGCCTGCACGGAAGGCTGCGGGGAAGGCTGGCTCGGCTGTTGAGAGTCCCCTGACTCTTCATTAGATTTAGACTGAGGTGAGAAGGATAGGAAATGAAAGATTACAACAGTTGATTAAAAGAAATGTATTAGTAACTCCATATTTTAAGAATCATTTAAAATATGTGTTATTTGATGATGGATTCTCTATTTTCTTTTTCTTTCTTATTCACTTATATCTTCCTGGTTTTGCATATAAGTTTTTAGTTTTTATTCTAGTGCCAGCAATGTTGCAATTATAATTTTTAAAGATAAAAAATAAATTGATCCTCCACTTATCAAAAGAAAATTTTACAACAGCAAATCCTTATCCGTTTCTGTGTCAGACCCTCCATACTAACATCCTGACACAGACTTGGCAGTCTGGAGCTTCTTCATAGGCCACCTTAGGGGCTCACTGTTCGACCCAGAGGGTTTCTCCTGTACTATTTTAAATGACCTGTAAATCTAGCATCTTTGTCAAGCTTGAGGGGAAATACTACAGTCAAGAAAGAGCACACACTCCTGAAAGGGGCACAGAGAGAAAATTTTATGGTAATTAAAACTGGTTATGCAGAGCATTAAAATTCTGCATAGATTTGCATATTTCCCACCACCTGTTTTGGGGACTGCAGCAGGGCTAATTAACATAAAAGCTCTGATTAATTCTGCCAGTCATTGAAAGATAATTACAGTGCAGGACTGTAAACATTCTGCACTGGAGATACAGCCTGTTTGCCAACATCCCTCTAAGGGATGAAAGTTTACCATGGCAACCAAGGCAATTTTCTACCTCCTCTCCCTCAGAAAGGAAGATCACATTATCTCCTTTTCTTTTCTCTCCTTGTTTCCATGTGTTACAAGGTCCATATTCCACTGGGTTTCATGGAATGCTCAACCCAAGGTCTTTAGTCACTAGCAACACTGAAATCAATCCACCACAGTACTGTTGCTACCTCTTGACTGCTAGTCACCCAACACTATAATGAAAAGCCGAAGGAGGGGTGCATGACACCTGATTTCTGCACGCTCTGCCACATACCACGTGTTCACATGTGCAAACTTACAAGATTTAAGTTTTGCTTTAAATTTTTGTCTATCTACACACCAACATCCATAAACAGGTTTAGTTACAATTCTTAGAAGCATAACATTTAGAGTAGAGAGGAACTCTGGCAATCTTACAAATATCCACATTTCAATGAAGATAAAGGAAAAAAAAACTGGGTCCCATCAAGTAACAAGACTTGCTAAAAGTCACACAGTTAGTTCACACCTAAGACTTCCACAATTCTCAGTCCAGGGCTCTCTGCATTGTTTTCCTGAGACATGAAAAATGAAAATAAAAAGATCTTTGGAAACAAAAGAGCATTTAAGAGATTATATGGCTTAGTGATTAGATATGTGTACAGTGTGACTTAGAAACATTTTACTGAACTTACATATAAAACTTGGAAGGCAGGCTTTTCTCATCCACCTTTGATTCATGCATAGAATATAAAATTGATTTTCATGAATGGCAATAATTATCATTTGTATCTTTATGATGTTCAGTAATAAAAATATAGAAATAAATAATAAGAAAATTTAAAAATGATAAATAATAATACTTTTGTTTCCTATTATAAAATTATTATGTACTCATTATAGAAAATTTTGGAAAAAAATAAATGGAAAAATTGACCCATTATCTCATGTCCCAGCTTACCTGTACATTTAAAGACTGAGCAGCAGCCTGTAAACTTGTTCCAGCGAGCTGGACCTATAAGTAAAGTAATAAAGGGAGGTTCTAGGCCAATACTGTTGGCATTCATCACCAGAGGTGTCCTCAACACTTTATAAGACTCTCCATTGAAGGCGTGTGGCTGAGAGAGAAGGTAAGTACAATGAGCTCATCTTACTGGGTGAAGACGTCATGGGAAAGTTCACAGTCCCCATCTCCACTAAAAGATGCTGCTGATTTTTTCTGAAGCTGTTTTCACCCTAAATGAGTATCACAGGGTTTTACATCTGTACAGGATGTGCCTACTTAACATGTCTGTATTTACAGGATGCCTAGATCCTGAGCACTTAATTCATCTTCCACGTATGTTAAAGAACACATAAGAATAAGCTCCCTAACATATTAGTTTATCATTAAAAATGAGAACCATATACTTCTTTCATAATTTCCACGTATACAGAGTAAAACTTTCTTTTAAATCTTTTTATTTGTTTTAATTAGTTATACATGACAGTAGAAGGCACTTATGCACTTTGATAGATCATACATAGCAGAGTAAAACTTTCATATATGCACACCAACACAGGTCAATCCTTAAAATATTTAGCATCATAACTTAAAATTTCTAGCTAAAATAATCTGTCCTATAAACCACATATGAAAGTTTGTCATAATATTTACATTTCACACATTCAGGAAGTTCAAAATCACGGTTATGTTGAAATATGGGTATAGAGCCAGTCTACTCCCAGCAGCTCAGGAGGCTGAGGCAGGAGAGGCAGGAGAGTTTAAGACCAGCCTCAGCAAAAGGGAGGGGGGCTAAGCAACTCAGTGAGACCCTGTCTCTAAAAAAAATACAAAATAGGGCTGGGGATGTAGCTCAGTGGTCAAGTGCCCCTGAGTTCAATTCCTGATACCTGCCACCCCATCCCACCCACTCCCCCCCCCACCCCCACCCCCATGCGTGCACGCACACGCACACACACACAAACAAAGAATATGGATACACACACAAGGAATTAGACAGCCATTGTCTGGCAATTGTGAAAACTGTCTCAGGCAGGAGTCATCACTGGATGATCAACTACGGACAAGATTTGAGGAGTAACAGGAAATTGACAAGGTCTCAACTCTTTCTCCCCAAGTGCTAATGACAAGGGCAAACTCATACCTTTACAGAGGGCTGTGGGCAGCAGTGACCAAGCAAGCACAGAGCTGTCAGCAAGGATACTCGTGCCTCCTGCTAGGATGCACTGTGAGGAGCACACACTCCCTGCATGGTAGGGAGAGAAAGGAGCACAAGAGTGCTCCCACCAAACGAGGATTCTGGCAAGGGACTGTACACTGGAGGAACAGAGCATCATGAATCACTCCAGGGCTCAAACCTGAGAGACTGGGAAATGGCTGTGTCACCAACAGGGAAGGCAGGAGTTCCACTCTGGATATACCACAGAGCATTAAGATGTTCTGGAGTTAATCTAAGCCTGGATATGGAGCTCGTGGAGTGAAGCGCTAAAATTCACTGACCGCTAAATCCTTTATTTGAAATGATTCTACTAACAGTGCTGTTAGTAAAGACTCCCCCAAAGGAAACAAAAACAGAAACTCCCCCTGCCAAGATGTATGGAGAACACATTTTAGATCCACTGGACTCAAAGAGACCAACCTGAAGAGAGAATGTTTACAGCATGCAGCCCAGGAGAGGCGAGCCCCAGCAGAGGAGGGGTTTCAACACAGAGGTTTAAAGGAGATCAAGTTCTATGTGACTTTATTTAAACCATGATGTGATGCTCCTGGGCTAACACTTGTTGAGAAACAGGATATTTATGCAGTCTTGCAGAATCACTCCACAGATTATTAGTTACAAGGAGGAAACAGTGACTTACAGTGGATCAATCGGACAAACAGACCTTAGTTGAATGATCAAACTTAGTATTACAAAAATAGGACAAGGCAATATCCTATGCCTTTGGATACAATGTTTAGGAGTGTTTCTTTCAAAACCACTCCAGTCATGAGAGAACAAACAAACCCAAATGAGAGGTATTCTATAAAATAGCTGGCCTTTCTCTACTCTTTAAAATTGTCAGTATCATGAAAGATATAGAGGCTGAGGAATTGTTCTGAACAAATGTGAAGACTAAACACAAAGTACGGACTGGATCGTGGACAGAAAATATTTAAATAGCAACCATATATTAGAAAATAGTCTCATATCAGTGCTGAACTTCTAAAATTTGAATTGTAGGTTTTAACATAATGTTGTTTATAGGAAAAGCATATTTAAGTGTTTATAAGCAATCAGCCACAATGCCTGCAATGTACTCTCAAGTGAGGAAAAAAATTCACATTTTCTATGTGTATATATGTACACACACACAAACACAAAGAGCAATAAAGTAAATACGGTAAAGCAGCAACCACTGGTGGTTTCAGACAAATATTGTTCTACTGCAATTGTGTAGATTTGAAAGTTTTCAAAACAGAAGGATAAAATAAAAAAGAGAGCTTCCCTTTAACACTTGATTTTGCTAGTTTCTCACATTTTTCTAGGCTCAGCTGAAAAGGACATTTCTTTGGCTTCCATCCTTTTTCTAGGAGGCACTGGAGGGTCTGTGACCTTGGAGGCCCCAGAGCTGGTTCAAGGTTTGCAACCATCTTAGAATCCAGACCAAGGGGAAAAGACTGCATGCCGTCCATGTACCTCCACCAACTGTTAAAACTGTACATATGGACCATGCTATGGCTTGGATGCTACATGTACCCCCAAAGGACCATCCATGTGTTGAAAGGTTGGGACCTAGTGGAACAAAGCTAGGTCACTGAGGGCATGCCGTCAAGGGGGATATTGGGACCTTGGCCCCTTCCTAACCCTCTTTGCATCTTGGTCATCCTTTGGTGTGTGGCTTTGCTCCACCAAACATTCCTTACTATAATGCTCTGCTGTATCACTGGCCCAAAGCAACCGGGCCAAGCAACCATGGACTAAACTTCTGAAATTGTGAGCTAAAATAAATCTTTCCTTCATTAGTTAATTTTGCTCAGGAGTTCTGTCACAGTTACAGAAACCTGATTAATATAGAGTGACATACATAGAAGCCAATAAAAGATGCTTTCTATGTACAACATAATTAACTACATGCATAAAAAATGTGACTCCCTTTAATGGCAGAGAACTTGTTGGAAGTTTAAATATGTTCTTAGAAGAAAATAAACATGATAACATTTTTATAGATTATGTTACGTTTCTCTGATTCAAAGATGCAGCTGTCCCTCCTATCCACAGGTAATACATTCCAATGTTGCCCCCTCACTTATGTTTGAAACTGCAGATAACACCAGACCTGTGTATACTAGAATTTTTCTACAGAGAGATAGCTACAATAAAGCTTAATTTACAAATTAGGCCAGTAAGAGATTAGCAAAAAAAATTAGAAACAAAATAGAGCAATTAAAACAACATACTGCAACACACATCATTCGAAACTTGTGAAGTTTCTGGAATTTCCATCATGGATAACAGAGACTGTGGGTGGGTAGGGGGCACAGCACAGACAAAGCCATGTGGCTGAGCACAGCATGGACAAGGCTTGGCCCTAGAGAAGCAGCTGGCTGTTGCCAACAACCCCCTCTGCATCTGTAGACAAATCACAGGCTTTGGAGTAGCTTTCCTGAATTTCATCTGTTTTCAAGTAGAGAAAAACTTCTTTTACAGTTTAGATAGTCTTATAGTGTATTTTTATGAGAAGAGTAGAGCAGCATGATATGCATCCATTCACAGCAACTTAACATGAGAATACACAGCCTGGGAGGGTTCATGTGGGCTTGTCACTGAGTTGCCACCCCCATTAAGGCATACTGTTACCAGCATCGCTACTAGCAAATACACTGTAAGCATTAAATTAATTCTAGGTTTTGAGGAGAAACCACTAACATGTGAAGTGTGTTTCTTAATACATAATTGTGAACATAAATCAAGAAGTGGGATGCTCTGATCATATACCTCCTAACTGTTTTCACTGCTAGCTTTCCACTGTCAATCAGCTCTCGTATCCCAAAACTCTTAGGTGGCCAATGTTTGTTTTGTGCTCTCTTCCCCTTTACATTATAGCTATAACACAATGAAGAGAATCCACGGTCTGTTTTAGACTCATGAAAAAAAAATCCTCTGGTGTCTGGGTAATAAAGCTGAGGCAGGTCTTTTTAAACCTCAAGCTAGGTGGTCACAGTAGAGCAAAAGGCTCTTGAGTAGTTGCCTGAAATCAAAAGGTTGGAAGCTGTTTCAAAGAAGGGATAGGAGCACTGCACCCAGAGCCCTATACCAGAGGTCACAGGCAGCAGTAATTTTGCCATTTTGGAGGACTGACTTCAGTAGGCCACCACAAACCCACATCATGCTCAGAATCTAGACCCAATGATCCAGATGTCACAGACATTCCATTCAACAAGAAATCCCCCCAGCCCCCGCCTGTGGCCTCAATGGCTATCCAGTCAACTAAGTGTACTGATTCCATGCTGACCATTTGGATGACACAATTAGATGTGATCAGTATAGGGTTTACTTAATTTTAAAAGTCTCACATTCTGAAAAAACTTCCCCAGGTCCTAGCACTTCAGGTCTCCATCTTTTACTCTCACTTATGGTTGAGTAGAACATTCTACCTGATGGAGATGTCCAAGGAAAGCCTGGGCCTGGGCTGTTGAGATTGCTCCTCCAACAGGCACAGGCTGCTTCTGGAAGTCCAGACCATTGGTTTGTGTGCCTGGAAAGCAAGCGAAATGATTAGAACTACTACAAGAAAAATATCAGATTGAAGAGAGTATCAGACTTCAGTTACCAATGTAACTGAATGTTCACTAGGAACTTACTTTGCAAAAGCACTTTTGAAATACCTCCAAGGAGAAGACGGGAATAAAAAAAAAAAAAAGAAAAGAAAATATAGTAAAATGGTTTCTCTTCAGAATATAGGACTACAAGACAAGTATGTAACATAAACAATGAATTATAGCCATTATGTGGCACTATATCATTCTCACTATTGTAAAGAATGGTAGAGACAGAGTTCCAAAAGAGGCACCAAGCCTCTCTTCTACTCTCATCATACTTGATATTTGGCTTGGACAAAAGAAAAGCACTATGACTTTGCAAGAGCAAGGAGTTACTATTGATTTAAACCGTTTAATGAATGACGCCTCTGATGGCAAAAGAAGTTCTTTATCCAGCAAGCATAATGAAAACAAAATAGTTGTACTGATTTCTCCAATTCCAAAGTATGGATTACTCCATATGGTATCCCCCAACCCCACACCCACCCCAGGGATCCAATCCAGGGCCTCATGCATGCCAGGCAAACACTCCAATCACTGACCTACATCCTAGCCAACTATACACATCTATTAGCAAGGGCTCTGCTCTAATTATATTTTTCAAAATGTTTTGCCAGTGCTTTTTAAAAATCTCTTACGCTGTGATTTCATGTTGGAACAGAACTGATTTTATGGAAGGACATGGCACCCTAACACCCAGAAATATTTTCTCAGGAATATAACACATTGTTTTCAAACTCCTATATCCAGTTATTATTTTTAAAAAGCCAGAATACTTTGTACTGAATAAAGTATAACTGACCAGGAGCCTCCAAAGTCTTCTGGTACGAGGACATTTCCTACAACTCCTACACCTCACCTTCCTACCCGTGCACAATGTGGCCACGCCCTGGGCAGGCAGCAGAACAGAGCCAGAACCCGACTGCATCACTGTTAGAAGCTCTCATTTTTGCCACCACACACCCTAACTTCTTAGGTATACTGCAAGACCTGGAAGAGCTATTGGAGGTCTCCTTAAGATAATCACAAGAGAAATGTTTTTCACTTCCTGAAAAACTCACGGATCATTTCTTGTGATTTTCTTTCCTAAAGTCTCCCACTTTGGGAAACTTTAGGACTACCTAGACACAAAACAGTTAATGCACTTAAGAGTACAATTGTGTCAATTAATTAGAAACTAGCATGAAATAAATTTTAAAGTAATTAGAGTCACTTCCATAGCCAAATCCAGAAGTTTTACTATTTTAAAGTTGTGTTTTGTCATTAATTGCTGCTTTTCTCTCTATGCAGGAAATCATTACCTACATGAAGATTTTAAGTTGTACACCATAAGATTATTTAGTCAATCATAACTCAGCAAAACTGGGCGAAAAGACTGTGTACTTTTGGAGAAATCTGCTCAAAACATACTAAATAAGCCAACATGGCTAAAAGATGAGATCAGGAAAACCAGAGCACTTAGAGATTCATTTCAATGAGAAGTCTTCCAGAGCTAACTATTTCACTCTTACGGAGTCAAAATTTTATACACTGGGCTGGGGATGTGGCTCAAGTGGTAGCACGCTTGCCTAGCATGCGTGAGGCACTGGGTTCGATTCTCAGCACCACATAAAAATAAAAAAATAAAGATATTGTGTCCACCTAAAACTAAAAAATATTTTTTAAAAAAATTCTACACCCTGAGTCCACCTTCCAGTTCCCATAAAAATGATGACAAACTCCTTGTAAGTCACAAAGCACCACACAACAAGAGACTTGTTTCTGGTATCCCGGCCAGTGCTCTATCTACAGTGGGCTGCTGCTAATCACAGTAGTAGCACTCAGCTGGGGCTCTGCCTCCTGGGGGATGGGATTAGGTATGGTCTTTGTACTGTAAACTTCGACATTTTTTACATATTCGGATGTTCTGACATCTTACAAAAACCTTTTGGCTGGGAAGAATCTGTTCTCCTGTCAATTCTAAGAGCCCAAACTGACCAGTCCTGAGCCCATTTGCCCAGACTCTGGAGGCAACACTCCTCTGTCTCAGTCACCCTAGACCCGGTGCCAGGCCACCAGAGAACACTCCATGGGAAACCCAATATAGACAGTGGCCCTAACTTCCCTGCCCCTTTCTTCTCTGGCTCTGGGCCACTTTGGTTTCTTTTTCATGTGAGCCTGGATAGAGTGCCATGCTTTTTATTTCTAGGACCTGTGAGTGTAATAAACTTTGTCTTCCTGAGCCTTTACTGTGACCCTTTTTGTGGCTGTAACTAACTGACCATCTCCTAAAAAAACACAAGACAGTATTCCAAGGCACAAAGGTAACAAGAACACTCAGACAATATCTGAGATCAATACAGAGATCAAGATGCAAAAGCAGATAATTTCTTTCCTTTTTGAGGGGAGGACCAGGAATTGAACCTAGGGGCGCTTAACTACTGAGCCAGATCCCTAGTCCTTTTTAAATATTTTGTTTTGAGACAGGTTCTCACAAAGTTGCTTAGACTGGCCCTGAACTTGAAAAAGCTTCCTGACTCAGTCTCCTGAGAAGCTGAGATTATAGGCCTGCACCACCATGCCTGGCAGACAATTTCTTTTCACAAGGTGCTAAGGTTTCATTGTAAGGTAAGGATAGAAGTAAATAGATATTACATAGAAATCATTCTTGTAAAACTGGACTAAAAGGAATGGAAAGGAGAACAGATGTACCTCCCACTCCTGCCCCCAAATGAACTTGAGTGTGAGATGGTAGCAGGAGACAGGGTGTGAGGGCAGAAGTCAAGACATACATGCCTTGCCTGCCTGGGAGAACAGGGACACTGGAAAAAAGAACCAGGGGGTTGAATTGTTGGGGGGAAAAGATGAATCAGTAAGATGAATAATATAAGACATCTAAGGATTGAGAAATTCAAAAAACATCTAAGAAAAATGGCCCAGAAGGCATTTAGAAATGACAGGTCAGGGCTAAAAATTCTGTAAGGTTGTCACTTAAAACAGTATTACTGAACTAAATCTCAGAGATCTTAGTTCAGAGCTTCTAGAAACCTTAAGTGAACAAGGCTAGTTAGTGGAAGGGCTAAGTTACAATGACCAGGTCCTTGGATTCTGTCTAGTTATTCACATCAAAGTGATAGTTAAATTAAGAGAGAAGAGATGGGGTGTAACCAGTGGTGGAGTGCTCACCTGGCATGTGAGGCCCTGGGCTCACTCCACAGCACTGCATGCACGCATAAAGAGAGAGAGAGAGGAGAGAGAGAGAGAGAGATATCAATAAAGAATGGGTACAAAGAAGAGTAGACTAAAGATGAGGGTACCTATATTAGGAGCCAGAAAGACAAAGAGCCAGAGAAGGACCAGTTAGAGCAGAAAAAAGCATTCAAGACTAGTCTCAGGAGCAGGAAGAAAGAGCTACAAGGAAGACATAGTTTAATTAATGTCAAGTGGTATCGGGCACTGAAAAAGAAATTAATTTGAAGAAAATAGAGAAAAGGCAATAATATAGCTAAAACCAATAATTGATGAAACAGGGGAAAACATAATAGAAAGACATCAACTTAACTTACAAATTTCTGGTTAGATGAAATGAGAAAATGAGAGAAAGAGCAAGTAAACAATTCAAGGATTAAGAAAAGGTCAATAAAATACTACCGTACTATTAATTGAAATGCATTCTGCAGTCATATATAACAAATTAGAACAAATAAATTTTAAAAAAAGAAAATACTACAGATAAAAAAAGATAAGGAGTATCATAAACCACTTCATGCTAATAAAATTAAAACAGAAATGGAAACCAGAGCAGTGGCATACAACTGTAATTCCAGCAACTCAGGAGGCTGAGGAACTAAGCAATTTAGTGAGACCCTGTCTCAAAAACAAAAACAAAACCCCAAAATAAAACCTAAAAAACTTAGAAATAACTCTCCAGAAAACATAAGAATGACTCAAGAAATAGAAAATCCAGAGTCCCACAGCATTTATAGAAACTGGATTAGTAGGTAAAAATCTGAAAAAGAGAATACAAAGCCTATACAATTTGAGTATCTAAGGGTGCTTCAAATTCAAGGAACATGTAATTCCAGTGTTTCACAAACTTTTCTAGAGAACAATAACAAAACAAAACAAGAAATACTTCCTAATTCACTTAATGAGGCGAAATAACTTTAACCAGAAAAAAATACAAAAAAGAAAAAATAATACAAACTAGTTCAATTAATAAACACATATGGTAAAATCTTAACAGCAATAGCAAACCTTATCTAGAAAGATAATACATTATGTGTAAAGTGGGTTATTCCGGGAATACAAGGTTGACTTGTGGTTTTTTTTAAACAAACAAATAAAAAATGAATAGGGTTCACCAAATTCACTAATGGGGGAGGGAGAGTGGGAGGTGGCAGAAGCAAAGGGGTGGATTATAGCGTCATCTCAAAGGATGCAAAAGATAATTAGATAAAATGCAATATCCACTAAAAACTCAAGGTACAGGAATATAAATTTTCTCAACTTTATACTATGAAGTAATGCAAATAAACAAATGAATCTGAGGTGATGGCCAAACACCGAAAGCCACTAAGGTCAGCGTACTAAGGCCACCTCCACAGCCACCGCAAGGGGGGCTTTGCCAGCACAAGCAGCAGGGAAGGAGACACCTGGGCTGGAAAAGTCACTCTTCTTCGGTGGTCTGATTGCAGATGTGGAACATCCCAAGGACAATAATACTGTCACAGAAGCCCAAGTCTAACAAGGTGCAGCACAGAAGTCTACTGTAAAGCTGCCTTTGTCTAGACCGAATGAAAAAACTTCAAGAGTTTATGTATAATACTTATGGAGTTCTGGGAATAAATATATCAAAGTACAGCATGTTCTATAAGTAAAACATTATAAAGCTTTACCTAGACACGATAAAGAAGACAAATGTGTGGTACAGGAAGTCTCAACCTTGTAAATAGGT